ACCAATGGCCCTTCCACTTCTGCCACATTTACCTGGCTTTTCCTTCACCCAGGCTGACGTGGTGCATTTGCCATACCCTCCACTTCCTCCCCCCCCTCCCAGCCATTTCCGGTAGGCTCCCACATTCTCCCCTTCCTGCAAGCAGAATAAGTTCAGGAGCAAGTACGCCTATCCTAAAAGGGGCGCGTACCAGCATACGAGGCAGCTCGCACCCATCTCAACAGCGCAGCACTCGCGCACCGCTGTCTGGGAGCCCCACTTTCTCCTCGTTTAATTCGGACGAGTGCACCAGCTCCTCCTCCGACGACTCTGGAGGCTCAAGATACAGCCCTCGATCAGCGCGGTCTCAAAAACGATTTGCGGGCGTCAGGTTGGCTGTTCCGGAAGACGCCTTGCCGAAGATGAGCGCAAAGCGCGAAGGCAAGTTGCGAAGCGTGAGCAGTACTCGCAACGATAGCAGGGATGCACACTCGATGAAGCGCTCTGCGGATAGACGGGGCCGCAAGCGCACCGCGGAACGCAAGGCTTCCGTCCGCAAGGAGGATTATCAGGCCGAGCTTGGTTCGGACACTGATCTGACGGATGTGCCGAGTGAGAGGGAGGATTCCAATGGTGCATCTACTTCCGTTGCGGGCGCGAGAAGATCGCGGACCCCCGCAGGCTCGGGAAGCGCAGAGAAACAGTCCGACACTGACTCTGAGTCCGACACCGAATCCGTCATGGCCGCTAAGCTCAGGGCAGCAGGCGATGGCGATTCGCTCTTGGGCTCCGGCGAGTCCGACACCGAGCGAGGCATGAACACCGACGAAGAAGAGCAGTACATCATCCAACGAGCTCTGCGAAAGGAGGCTCACAAAAGACACATGCAAGCCCAGCGCGGAAGCACACGCTCGCTCGACCGCAGGAACAGCGTCGGGATGAACAGCAGAGGCACGTCTGGCTTGCCTGGCCCTCATCAGAGTGTTCATCTCAGCGAGGCGCGACAAGGACGAGCCAGCACGACAGATGGAGACGAGGAGGAGTCGCAGCATAGAGCTCGTCGACACCATTCGATGTCGCCCGACACAATGCGGTCGTTGGGAATCGACGAGGTTACGGATGAGCTGTTCGAGCCGCAAGATGTGTTTGGATCGTCATCTGAACCCTCCTTCACCGACTTCTTCGCTTCCGACACCGGCAGCGAGAGTGATCACAGCGTGGGTTTCCACCTGAGCCCGCACGAGGACGACGATGAGCTAACGGATGACAATGAGAGCGACATCCATCTCGGTGATCTTAGCGAGCTAGACGGCTCCGTCCGTGATCCGGCGCTCCTCGCACAGATCGGCGACGCGGATGCTATGGCGTTGCTCGATGCGCAAGCGGGTGCTGCGTCGAACGCCGTCGGCAATACGCAAGTCCCGCTGGCTTCAAATTCCACTGTCCCGGCAGCAGCAAGCGCATCTCAGATGGTGCCGCTACTGGTTATTGAAGACCTCGATGGTAGGCTGATTTACGCGCGAGCAGGCGATGGAGAGGCTGTTTTTGGCTCAGACGGCGAGTTCGAATTCGCGAACGACAGCGACAGCTACGACTCGACCGACGACGACGGCGATTTAGAGGGTGTCTCCGCGAGCGGGCGCGATGATTGGCGGCGGTGGCAAGAGGAGGCTGCTCAAGTTTACGACGACTCTGGTGACACCACCGACGAGCTCGGAGATGAGGAAATGCCTTTCCCGCGTCTGCTCGTCGGTTCGGTCGCTCCTCGAGGGGGTCGGAATACGAGACGCGCGCGCGCGATCGCCGCTGCTAAGTCCCGGCGAATCTCTCCTGCGACTGCGACTGCGACTGCGACCGCTACACCTGCAGCTCGCTCTTCAAAAAGCCCCACGCAGCAGTCCAACAGCCTGCAACGGGCTGCGACCGCCGCAACATCCTCAGGACAGGCGATTTTTACAGATCAGTCGGCTGTTAGCGAAGGCGTGGATATAAGCAATCCATTTGAGCTCGACTTCTCGATGTCCCTTTCGGAACTGGCGCGCGATCCACAGGCTGCGATCGCAGCAGCTGCAGACGCCTTGGGCATCTCGCACGACGAAGCGGCGAACATTCTCGCCGGTGTCGACCTTTCCCTCCTCACAGGCAGTCAGGCGCATGTGGCAGAAGCTAGCGAAGCTCCGAGCCCAGCATCACAGCACGCGGCACTGCCTTCAGCCGCTTCGTCGCTGCCCACCACACCTCTCAGGCAGTCTGACGCTCTCCCCGCCATGGGGTCGTTCATGCCCACGTCTGCAAAAGGCGTGAATCGAGCAGTATTGAATGGCTCAAACCAAGCCCCTTCGCCATTCACTTCGAGGCGTGGGTTGCAAAAGCGGGGCTTGGCTGCAGGCAGTAGGAAGAGGACACACCGTCGGGCGTCGGACCTCAATCCACCGTACTCGGTGAAGCGTTCGCGACGCCAGTCCTCCACCGCGACAGGCGAGAGCAGCTCAAACATGCTGCCTTCGGAGTCACCTACATCGGAAGGGAGTGCGACTGCGGCTGTCGATCCTGTAGAGCTGGACGACGTAGTGGATGCAGCCATGCTTTGGCGGAGCAGCGACGCGTCATCGGACGCTTCAGATGATGATAGCGGTGGGGGGGCGACGGAGAATGGAGACAATGACGCCATGAGCGCCTCTGGCGCAGACATGCAGGCATCCACCGCCACGCTGAGACCGCGGTCTTCCAGCCGCGCCTCTGCTTCCACTGCGACTTCAGGAGTGTCGAGCTCAGTCATGGATGCAGGCCATCCTGATGTCAACTTGAACGCAATCACACGTTGGCACCGGATCCCTATGGGCGCTTTCCGGGATGGCCAGGGCGTATCTGCAAATAATGGTCGTCAGCACCTAGGCGCTTTTCTCTTGACGCGTTCGTCCCGTCAGATCGGTCGCAGCCCTGCGAGCAATTCATCTCGTGCCAACAACAACGAGCACTCGCCTTTCCGCAGTATCAACGAAGGCGCGACCATCCACATGGGAGCAGCGCCACGCTACGTTACACAGCTTGCCAGCCCGTCAGCAATGGCTGTGGATGCGGCGGATCCAGACGGTGCGCAGGAAAGAAGACGGCAAGCATTCTTCGTATCGCCTATATTGTGGCCCGTTAGATCAACCGAGGGCGCCAACAGCTCGCAGAGTGCGGCGGCAAACGGGGTCGTGAGCGCCTCACAGCTAGCTGAAGTTCCTCATCTTGAGCTGTCAGCCTCGCGCGGCAAGGTCACGCGCCGGGAGAAACGAGAAAGAAAGGCACGCAGAGCTCGAGAAGCAGCTGCAGAGACGGTTTCTGTGGCCACGCGGGAGAGCAGCGCGGCTACGGAGACAACCGACGTCAATGCTGTCGCACTGCCTGCTACATCCATGGTGGAGGAAGAAAACCTAGCGGAGTCACCCGCGACGGCAATGCCCAGACTGCGCATTTCTGATGCTAGTCCTCGCGGCTCACCTGCTCCTTCTACATTACGGGCAGGTCCTTTGCAAGCGGGACCGCTGGGCAGGCACGGAGATGGGTCGGAGCTCGGCAGACGCAGCTCCTCCATGCGGGTCAGCGAGCCGGCACCGCCGCCGACTCTGGGCCAAATGTCTGCAGTACCCAGTAATGGCTTGACGCCCGTGTTCGGAGCGTCCACCGTACCAAGCTCCGGCACTTCTTCTTCGAATCATCCCAACCATGCCACAGTCCCATCTTCTGCTGCTGGACTGCCCATCTACTCTCCGCTCTTTGGCGGCATGGTCTCTCCAGTGACCATGGCTTTCCAAGACGACATGGGCGAACATGGCCCGAACGATGAGCCGAGACCCCTTGCGATCTGAGCGGCGTCGCTCGAGCTAGATGCTTTCAACGATTCCTAGAGCCGCATTCGAATGTTGCCGCTCAGTCAAATCACGGCACCGGGGTTTTCGAAATGTCTATTCCTCTCTTGCTTCCAAGTACGTGCGACACGCTTTCAAACGAACTGTAGTCATATCCTGCATTGGCTCGACCAAGCTTCCCCTTTCCACCCCCCCCCCTCCCCCCCCTCTCTCCCAAGCAAAATATCTTCGCAATCATGATAATTGACTCTTAGTCATGCTAGCTAGCATGCTGGTGCAGGCCTTTCGTGTCTTTTCCCAGTGGCTCGGCCTATGAAAGTGGATCTTGCGGACGAGTCGGACCAGCTGGGTCAAGGGAAGATTGAGCTTCGACTGCGTCGCTCTGGCTAGACGACAGCAGCAGCAGCAGCAGCTCTTGCGCGCGTTGCAATCTTTCGGCGAGCAGCGCCAACTCTGCACGACGCTTGTGCATCATCTCGTCGAGACCTTGCGCAGCTGCAAAAGGAGGCGCAAAGACGTGTTCGCGTAGAGTAGAGACGACATTGGACTTGAGGCGAGATTGTGGTGGGGTTTAGATTAGCAAGGAGGATTGCTAAACTCGGCTGTAGGTTTGGAATGGGGGAAAAAGGGGGAAACTCACTTCCAGGTCCGCTTCCAAGCCTTGAGCAAGTCTATCCCAATCCGTCCAGAATCGCCTCTTGGCTTTGGTCCATGCGCCTTGCAGATGAAACGCAAAAGCCAGCGTGGCGAGCAGCGAGACGCCGGCGGCTGTGGAAGACTGCATGGCGAGCGGCAATAGGGTCTTGCACGCGTCTTCTCCCAAGAAGGTGTTTGCGCTCAACCAGTGCGATACGGCGGGTAGTTGAGCGCTGATCAGCGATGCGCTCGCAATAGTACCGGTGGACAGGTAGAAACGCATCACGAGGGCTTGAGCTCGAGATACGAGCACCTCCAGAGGACCTCCTTGTGAAAAGAGTTGCGAACGACGCGAAGTGATGGGCCATGCAAAGGATCGCGGTTGGAGCAGGTTCGAGCTGGAAGATCCAGCAGCTCGATGAAGCTTGGACTGCTGCGCAATTTGATTGCGCAGGAGCGGAGAATCGAAGTAGGACCTCTGAGAGGCCTCCATGTGACCTTGCCAGGACGTCGCGCCGCCCACCAACGAACTAGAGAGCTCGGCTCGGCCCGCATTCTCGGAGCGCGACCGAGCGGTGAGGGTGCCGAGCGCAGCTTCAGTCACCTTCATCTGATCCTCCGCAAAGCTCAATGTCCTTCCAGCTTCGAATATGAGCTTCGACACGATGACAGCCTTTCACATCAGCGTCCTTTTCGTGCGCAGAACCAGTATGCATGCGTCTCATGCACTCACTTGATCCTCCAAATCCTTCGAAAAGCTACTCCGCACGGCATTGTCCACCTCTGCCCTCACATCGTCCACTTTCCAGAGCAATTTCCACCAGGGCAACCTTTGTGAAAAGGTCTTTTCGAGCAAGGATGCAGAGTCGCTGGCGGAGCCCAGAGCGGAGCGGGACCTATCGCCTGCTCTAATGTGCAGCTTGTTATTTTTCGCCGAAGAGTCAACGTCGGATCTAGAAGACTGCAAAGGATTGGTAGAATTGAGATGGTCCTTTGACAATACTCGTAGGGCCAAGCTATTCAAATCGCGCTGAACACCTTGTCGAAGCACATCGCGAAGGCCTTGCGCTCGTCGAACATCTTCTTGCGCGATGATCAAGCGTGCTCTAGCTTCTTCCAACGCGTGTCGCAATAACCGTGCGGCGCTTTGGCACGCGACACTTGCAGCTCGTCTTGATCTCGTGAGTGACCTCTCAGCAGATGTTGGATTCAAGAGTGGCGCAAACAAGAAATGCGCTCGCAGCTCCGAAAGACCGGATGAGGCGGATAGCTGTGCGAAAAGCTCCCAAGCGCGCGCGGCGTCCGGTTTGGACGTTGATGTTGACGTCGAGTCGCCAGTCGAGCTCGACTTGCCTTGCGGACCCACCAGCGGCAAGCCAAGTCCAACGCGCAAATGCCCGTTGGCGAGCAATGCAGCAGTGGTAGAGACGTGAAGCACGGAGAGCTGCAAACCCCTTGGGCCAGCTGCTGCCTCTACGCTTGCATCATCTTGAGGCTTTTCGTCAAATCGTCCGACGTCAGCGCTGATGACTTCCTCTAGGGTGTCCAGCACACGTTCCTTCGCTGCCTCGTCGAGCGTCCCATCTCCATGATCGACCACCAAGACCGTACCAGGCCAGTCCAAGAAAATGGCCAACAAGTCCAACTGGCGTCGAGCCCGCTCTATTCGCTCCGAAGCGCCCCTCTCCTTGGCCAGCCTGCCCGACCTGCGCAGAAGCAGAATGTCTTGCGCAGAGAGGAGGAAGGTGTGCATGTCGCATTCGTACAGCGCGTCGAGGCAGCTCGTGCTGTCGGCTGATTCTGCGCACGGAGGATCAGGACGAAGATTGAGATGGGCACGATTCGCACCTTGTCTGACAACTGCGCAGAAGCCGAGGCCAAGCTTCGGAGCTGCGCCTTTGCACTCACCTGAGACTTGCAGTATCTCTAACTGAGCTTCTCGCAGCCACGGCAAATCAATCTCGAGCGCATCCTTACTAACTCCGCTCGCAGGCAATCCGCTATCAGACGCACTGACATGTCGATAAACAGGCATGGAGATGGAGAATGTCAATTCAGCGCATGTACGTCTGGCAAAGAGCGCACTGGGACGACGCACCGGATCAGAGCGTGAGCATGGGGATCCACTTCGAGTGAAAGCGTCTTTGCATTTGAAGCCAGATCGATTGCCGATGAGGCGCTGGAGCTCGAGTTGGAGCTTGCAAAAGCCAATGGATCATCAAGCAGCGCTTGCAGTAATCGAGAGCTCGCATCGCTATTGGGAGCGACGACTGGAGAGCGTTGCGGTATCAGCCCCGCACCATTGACAAGTCAGTCAAGGATGTCGAGCACTTGAACGAGCTCCACGGCCTCGACTCGGTCCGAACACTCACGCGCAATGCGAATATTCCGCTCCTCCGTTGCCGCTTCGTGTCGAGTGAGCGCCCTGCTGTGCCTCTCCAGTCTCTCTGCCGCGCGTCCCAGTCTCTCTGCCCAGATCGAATCGCTCAAAGCCGGCAGTTCAAACATCTGCTGTGCATCTCTCAGCGCCAAAAGCGACGCGTGACGAGGTGCCTCTGAAAGGTGCGACGATTCGCTCTGATGTTTGTTGGGATGATGAGATGTCGACGATGCGGCGAGAGATGCCAAGGGTCTTGCATGAAGAGCGGATGGGCGAGAAGAGAAAGAGCGTGGACGCTGCAGCGTGGATCGGCAATGATCTTTGCTGACGATCAAGTCCAGAGTCGCTCTCTGCGAAGTGCAAGTCGCAACAGCCTTGTCCGACCGCTCAGCCCTCCTCGCATCTCCTCGTACTGAAGCCGAAGAAGCACATCTCTTTCCGACTGGGCTACCTTTGCACGCCCATCTCGCCTGGGCCGAAGTTGATGTACGGCGGCGTAAAGATGCTTCTGCAAGTGCGGCCACGCGATCGCAGCACGGAGGGGAGCTGCTGGATCGAACTAGTAAGCTGTGCCGCAGCATGCTCTCTTCTTCTCGCTGCACCCCCCAACGAGCCGCAAGAGATGTGTTGAAAGATTCGAATAGACGAAGGGCGGGCAGATAAAGCCTGATGCTGATGCTGGTGCTCGCGCTAGTGCTAGTGCTGGTGATGAAAGCAGGTCCCACTGGAGGTCGGGTGCCATGCGTGATTGTGATTCGAACTACAGATGAAGGCTGCATGGCTGGCTGATGTTGCCCTAATTCACATCCACATTCAAGGTTCACATTCACATTCACATTCACATTCACATTCACATTCACAACAATGTGAATCAAGAATTCACATTCGCTTTATTGTTCTTCTCGTGCGGGCTTCAATGACCACCTCCCGCCACGACGCGTCGTAGAGCGGATTACGCTCGGCGAGTCACAACAATAAGCGCGTGTTGATTCGTGATTTGCGCATGCGCGCGTCCGTCTCGATTATCAAGCAGCGAAGCGTCAACTTGGGGCGTTGTGCAGCCTTGAGTCTTGATTGTTCGCCTCTCGATGGGCGTCTCTTCGCATACATACAGCCAGCAAGCCCAATTCAAGACGCTGTTGTAGCACAGACTAGCATTCAATTCACGATTGGTGGAGTGGAGCTTTGAGACACTATGCCTCCTGCTCGCCAAGCAGCCCAGAAAGCCCGCTCGCTTTTCGCAGCTCCTGCGGATTCGCAAGAAGGAAGCGGTTGGACGAGCGAAGAGAAGGATTCGAGTAGTTTCGCATCGAGCAGCAGCCGCAGCAGCGTATCGATCCAGTCGCAGGCGAGCGAGATGGTCAGCGAGGACAAGAAATTCGAGAGATTGAAGAAGAGGCGCAGAGTGGATGCTGATGTTGCGCACGCACCGCCTCGGAAGAGCAATCGCGCTGAGCGTGCCACGATGCAGGGACCCTGTTCGCGGGCGACCGAGCTGGCTAGGCATCACACCACATCCTATCACACTGCTCTGTTGCTCTCGGAAGCCGCACTGTGCTCCACGAAAGAGATCGCTCCACTATCAGACGGTATCGAAGACGACCGCATGGCTAGCGCGAAGACGTTGGGAGCTCAGACGAGGCAAGCGCTACTGGATTGGTACGAAGGAGTCAGCGCTGCGCGCAAGATGCCTTGGAGAAGAACGTTTATAGATCCGACATTGTATGTGGGCAAAGAGTCGGAGCTGAGGGAACTACTGAAAAGGAGATCTTATGAGGTTCTGATTTCTGAAATCAGTGAGTTTGGAGGGATCAGACGATTCGTGCTGTGACTGTTGTCGGATTCACAAAGTGCACTGCTCGCTTGATCGCATCTCGTCCGACGCCTCTGCCTCATATTCACCATCCGTCCTCAACGAATTGCAGTGCTGCAGCAGACCAGAGTGGAGACGGTCATACCATACTATAATCGATGGCTGAGCAAGTGGCCAAGCCTCTCTGCGCTAGCTTCAGCCAGTTCTGAAGAAGTCTTGTCAATGTGGAAAGGTCTAGGCTACTACTCTCGCGCCACTCGTCTTCAGAAAGCAGCTCAATTGGTCCTTTCACACCCTACCTATGATGGTCTCTTGCCTTCTTCCATGGAAGAGCTTTGCAAAGACGTGCCGGGTGTTGGACCTTATACTGCCGGAGCGATCTCTTGCATCGTCTTTGGTCAACCTGCACCCATGATGGATGGAAACGCTTACCGCGTCTATTCTCGTCAGATAGGATTGTACGCCGACATGAGCAGCAAAAAGGTGCTCAATGTGTTGGAGAGGGAAGCGAGAGCATGCGTAGAGGCTGTGGCAAAGAGGGACACGAACGGCAAGACTCTGCCTAGCAAGAGCTGCGGGGATTGGGGTCAGGCTATCATGGAACTGGGGGCGTGAGTGATTGAGTTTGATTTTGCACGAGTTGCGCTTTCGTCTTGCTACTCTGACCTCCCTGCGTCACGTTTCACAACCTTTTGCGCGAGTCCAGTACCATTTGCACGCCCCTCAGGCCTGACTGTCAGAGATGTCCGATTCGTCCTACGTGCCGAGCTTACGCCGAGGTACGTCGAAGCCAGCGGTCACTGACATGTCGCAAGACTTCCAAGCCAGCTGACATCACAAAATCTTGATCACAGGGAAGCACACTGGCTGCTGGCACGCTTCGTCCAAACGACGAAACACACCGCACCGTTGAGCGTTTCCCACACTCGTCTCCCGCAGTGTCGGAGGAGACAGACATCGAAGATTTGTGCACCCTGTGCGACCCGATTGACGAGGTAGCCCCCTCGCTGGGGAAGCGCCAGGGGGTCATGAAAGCCTCGAGCGGCTCAGCGCAGGAGAAAGTCGCAACAAACAAGCTCCAGAGCAAGCTCAACTTTGGTCGAGCTAGAACCGTCTCGAATTTGCAACAAAGCCAACATGTCAAGCCGGAGGGCACAGGCTCAAATACCGACGATCAAATTTCACAGCAGGCTTTGGACATTGTTCGAGCTCACGTGCAGCGCTTTCCAAAAAAGGTGGTCAAGAAAGCGCCGAGGGAAGAGGCTTGTCTGGTGCTTGTGATTCGATCAAGCGAGGGGAAGCTTTTGATCGAGCAGAGAGCAGAGAAGGGTGAGTGTGCAGTAGGAGGAGTACGGCTTGCCTATCGAGTACATCCGAAGACAGCGCTGCAGGGCACTGAGGCTTATCCCAGCTTTGTGGTGGGTTACTTGTCATCAGGCCTCTTGGCCGGCTTGTGGCAGTTCCCAGCATCAACCTTGCAAGGCGAAGCAAAGGACAAGATTGAATCTGGTGAAATGCACAAGAGGACCACGCCCGACAAGAAGCAAACGGGCAAGCGTCGGGCGATCGTGCACGCTCAGAGCACTCCCCTGACAGAGCGCCCGGGAATCTCGTCCAGGCAGGCGATGGAAGCCGAAGCTGAGAGGCTTGCATCTGCCCTCCTTTCCGAGAGCCTCGACTTCAAGGTCGCACGCTTGAAAGCTCGCGGGAAAATCACCCACCTCTTCTCGCACATCAAGTTGCACATGCACGTCTACGAGATGACTCTTCCCACTTCTATTTCGCAATCTTCGTTGCATGCAGCCGCGTCTCGGTGCACTCCAAATGGGACTGCTCAGCGACATGAACATAGCAGGGAAAGCGCACCTTCGGTATACAGTGCTGGACCGTTGCCCAAGAGGGCGTGGGTCTCCATCGACGAATTGTCGCACTGCAGCTTGTCTACGGGCAACGTCAGATGCTGGGAGCTCTCGTCTTTTGCTCAATCTGCTGGCGCGCCCGCCAAGCGGATAAAAAGATGAATGAGGTAAGGCCGCTCGGAGTGCAGCTTGCGCACTTGCCAAGCGTCCTCTTCTCATAGAGGTGCCTTCTAACTCGTCACAATGCTCCATCATCCTGCAAACCTGGCCACGCCACGCAGCACCATCACGATGCGCCAAATGTATTATGACAATATCTCATTGACGTCGCTCGCTCGCAACATATCGCGAAGTGTGGGTACCTTGCTTCTATTCGAAGTCTTCTCCTTTCGTGGTCCTTCTTCTCGCGCCTGTCACCATCCGCCGAGTGGGCAGAAAGTCAAGAGCAATTGGCAGAACCTCACCTCTTGGGAGGCTTCCTGCGAATGTCTTCTTCGGCCACGGGCAAAAGATAGATCTTGTCCTTTCCGCTATTGGGCGGATTAGCCATCTGATGACCCGCGTGCCAATCGTACGACACGGCATACGCAAAGATTTTACCGTCTCGATTGAAAGCCGTTGCGCTGATCGGAGCTGCTTTGCGGTCAAAAGCTGCGCGAAGGGCGGTAGGAGGAAAGAGAGGGGAAACAGCGCGTGAGCAATTCGTGTTAGGGAAGAGAGGGACTCTTTGGGAATGAAGCGTGTTCAGAGCGCCGTGCTACGATAGGCTACTCACTCTTGAGCCTCGTACGAGCGTCCTTGTCCCAGAAGGTGAAGGTTCCATCCGAGCCGCAAGTGGAGAATGTGCCTTGAGGCGTGAAGCTGATCTCATTGACGGGACACACCACAGCTGGTTCCCTGCTACCCGTAGGAGGCTCTTTTCGATGACACTTGAACGAGAAGTTCGAGCTGGACAAGCGAGAAAAGAGGTCGTATGGAGGAAATCGAATCAGCAAGCCGCCTGAAAACACTGACAGCGCTACATCGCTCAAAATTTTGGTCCGCCGCACACGCAATCCACTTACCCCTTGTGCTCATCCTTGAAGTACTGAATCGCAACTCGTCCCTCGATGCTCCCAAGTGCGAAGCCGGGTGCCATGGGTTCCAAGCCGACCTCGGGTGCTCGTCTGAAGCAAGCGATGGTCCTCGTCTGATATTTGAGTGGAGAGTCGATCGACTACGACACCGAAGGCCCGAGACAAAGATGAGCTGTAAGCTGTTTGCCGCATACACCTGCGTGGCATCCTTCGCCCGAGAAAGACGCTTGCATCGCGCTTCGAGGCCTACTCACAAAGGCAGGAGCATTGGGATTTTGCTGCAGATCAAAGACGTGGATCTTGCGATCCGCTGTGCCAACGACCAGATATGGCCACTCGCAGTCCATAGCGTAGCATCTTTCCGAAAGTGTGGCTTGTGCGATAGGATTCCCTTGGCGCATGTCCCAGTACTACGCAATCGTACATTCGCATCAGATGGGGTATGCCAGCCTCGGTGTCAGCCCTGCATCTACTACAGCCGGGTGTGCGCCACCTTTGTGACTCACCTTGACCGTCTTGTCCCAGCTGGCAGTAGCGAGCAGCCCGTTTCCCTGATCGACCCATCTCACGTGCTTGATAGGTGCATCGTGAGCAGCGACCTGATTGCTCTGTCCGCTCTGAACGTCATACAGCTTAGCAGTCTTGTCTGCTGAGCCGCTTATGACTCTCAAGCCGTCTTTGGACCAAATGGTGTCTAGCACTGGACCTTCGTGACTGTACATCGCTTTGGGCACCGCCCCTGCCCCTTCCACTCCGTAAATGCGAACCTGCGATGGCGAGACGTATGGCGGCGGCAAGTGCGGCGTCAGATCAGAATCAAAGTCTTCGTGCGCTAGGCGGAGCGTGCACGCACCTGGCGTGATCCATCATCAAACTCACATTGTTGTCCCAGCACCCGCTCACGAGAAAGTCAGCAGCAGAGCTCCAATCGAGCGAAGAGATTCCATCTGGAGGAGAAGGGTTCACTTCAATGTCGCTGCTCGCCGCTTGACTTCCAGTATTGGAGGTATTGACCAGACCTGGACGCGCAGTGCTAGCTGCTGATGCACCAAAGCTGCCCGGCGCTCGAAAGATGGAGGACATGTCTGAACAAGTGTGAGGTAGAGACTCGGCTACTCAGACATGGACAGCTGTTGGAAAAGCAGCCTTTGACGAGGGCGCTCCCCAATCGAGCTTGGATTGGGAGTGCCAACGAGTGCGTTGCTGTGCTGCTTGAGGTCCGAAGGCGAGCTATCGTCAGAATGTTGGACGCAAGCAAGACCTGCTGCCCCTGCTGTGGTCCGAATGACCACCCGACGCAGAGGAAAGCAAGACTGATCGTCAAGCCCAGCCACGAATCAGTGGACTTGCGTTGAGGTAGGCTGAACAATCTGACCGACTTGTCCTGACCCGTTTGGGATTCCGCGTGGTCGAAGATGTGAATGAGAGAGGTCCAGGTGGCCGCACGATCAGCGAGCCAAGGACGATGGATGCCTTAACTGCACGGCCGTGTGCTGCTAGGTGGCTGAATTCTTGATTGTCACCACACCACACGCGCGACGCGGAAAGCGATGCGGGCTTCCCGGCCGAAAAGACCGCACCCGCGCGGGCTCCGTTGCTAGACGGACGCGCATTGATGACGGCGATGAATGAATGAATGGATCACTGAATGAGTTCTCTTTCTCGAATCGATACCTTCAGCATCTGGACTGCGTCCTTTTAACTCAATCACCGATTTCAATTTGACTTCGAGCCGCGAAAGATCCCGCGTGGCTGCTGGAGATGCGGAGCACCGTGCAAGGACTAGCCATGGCCATGCTCGCCGTTGCCTTGCCCCTCCTCGCAATCTGTCCCGCAAGGGCAACGTTGACCGCAGGCGTTCAGTATCCGCTCACCTGCGATCCCATCAACACTCGACTAGCCCCGGACACGAATCAATTGGTCAGCGACTGCGGATATGTAGCGTGGTGCGACGCATCCAGCTTGGTGGAAGGCAGAGGCACGTGCAGGCCTAACGGTTGTAGAAGAGACACTTTCCCCTTTGGCTATGGCAATGGCACTACAAGGGATGATTGGCCCAGAATCTGTCCACGGGGTCAGGTATGTATGCGCTTAACTCATAGCTGGCTATGTTGGCGGGCGAGGACTCACGCCTACACCTTCGCACGTCGTCGTCGCAGTTCTGCCCAGACGAGATGGCGAGATGCTTGCCGCAGCAAGCAGCAGGCTCTGCCTGCCAGCTGAATCGTGACGGTGAGCGGGCCGAAACTTGCCATGCTCCAGAATGAAGATTGGCGCTGAACTTTTCTCGGTCTCGTCACCCTCTCATAGACGAGTGTGCGCCCCCGTCGGCGGTGTCGCAAGGGTCGAGCAGTGTGTGCTTGCGATACACGTGTCAGCACAAGAACATCACTTTGGGCAACGAGTGCATACACGACAATACTCTGTACACCGTCTACGTTTCTAGACGACAAGACTATGGGCTCATCATAAGCAGGTGGGTCTCGCGGAAGCTTTGCCAATGCGAGGGCTACGACACGCTCAGCGTGCAATTGCAACGCTTCGTGAGACTGATTCCATGCATACTCGCTTGACCTCATCAGGGACAATTGCCAGAGCGGGCTTTTCTGTGATGCTGGGTCTTCGCGATGTCTATCACAGCAACCACTGGGCGCCGCATGCTCCTCCGATAAAGAATGTCTCTCACTGACTTGCAGAGACCAGTCCTTTACGCCAAACTCCTCTTCACTTGGGAACACCATCAACCTAAAAACAGGACGATGCGGATTTGCAGAAGAGGAACGCAAGGTCAAGGTTGGAATTTTGGTTGGCGCTTTCTTCGCTTTCATAGCCGGCGGTGTACTCTTTTCCATCGTTCTCTTTAGAGTGCACAATGCTCAGCGCAGAGAACGACTGGCCAAAAGGAGAGCTGAAGAAGCTCAAGCTTTGGCGTTGAGGGAAGGTTCCCTGCCACTTTCAGCTTCACTCGCCAATATGACCGCCACTGCTTTCGGATCGACCTCGGCTATACAGACTAGGACCGGGGAAGTGCTGAAGCCCAGTGGAGTCGCGAGCGGTCTTACCGAGGGAGGCGCATCAAGGACCACTTTCATTCGAGAGCGAAGCGGCGAATCGTTGGAGGTGTAGCGGTCCGTGAGGAGTCTCGGTGTCACGAGGCTTGTTGGAGCAGCAGAACGAAGATGAAACGGTGGTTTGCGAATCGCAACAATTTGGGACTGAATTGCCCTCCAAATCGGGCATATCTCGTCCTGCACAGCTTCGAAGCGGTCAAGCACACCTTTACGGTTGCTGTTCAGCGCGGCAGCGCAATGTCGGCGACCAATGGCGCTTCCGCTCTGGCAAAGACCGCACTGTTACACGCGATAGCCCGCCACGTCCAATTATCACCCAATGGCCGAGCACAATACAGCGCGAATCAACGCGGCGACAGATCACGAAACCTGTTCGCCATTGCTTGTAGGCAATCAAACAAGCTCGCAATTTTTGCAAAGTCTAAGTTGTAGCAGGTCCGGCCAGCACTCTTGCTATTCTGGTCCTGACGCTCTTCTCGATGAACGTCCCATCGTCGGCGTTCCCATCCACCTCCATCGACTCCAAATTTTCCTCGCTCGAGGCAAATACGTCGGCGAAGAATTGTCCGTGTCGGGAACGAACACTCTGCCGGAGGTCTGATCGCTCAGGGTCGGACAAAGGGGAAGTGTAGCTCGGCGAGAGCGGCACAAGGATCTGCCACGCCAAATTTGAGGGCAGCAACGGGCGGGTCAGACAGAGCCCGCTTTGGACGAGCTGGAATGGAGTACTGCATCGATCCTGTTCCTCACCTGCACGACGACACCCAGTGCACTCTTTCTATCGTGGCCTGGTCTGCTTTGCAGGCCCAAGCCAATCTTTCCTAACAAGCTGGTCTCATCCGTCCCTCGCTCTTCCAAGCCTGTCCGTTCTTCCACCTTGTTCCCCTCTACTTTATCCAGACCACTACGCAGTAGGACATTCTTGATGCAAGCTTCTCCGCACGCCTCGATACCTAGCAGAGCGCCTTGCACAGTGACAATTGGATGACCAATTCGCCTTTCTTGACCAGAGATCTCCAAGACTGCGCACTTGGACAAAGTCCTGATAAGCCGAGGCTTCAAGCTAGGGTACGATTTGTTGTAGTTGGTCAAGAGCAGGCGGAGAAGCGAGGCGGCGCGTGCGCGCAGAAGCAGGCACGAAGGGAGAAGGGAGGTCAAGAGGACGGAGAGGATGGAAGGCAAGAGCTGATGCAGCTGTGCAGCAAAGCCAAGGTCGAGCGCGTGCGTCTCAGTCTCAAGATGGTCTTCCGAGCGCATCGGCATCGGAGGGCAGGACTCACATAGGGTTCCAGAAGGAGGGTAGAATTCCGAAGCACTGCTTCTATAGCACCTAGAATAGCCACGAGCGCTCTTTGACATTCGACCTGCCTTCCTTCTGCTTCGGTCGCGCTCTGCTGTGCTGATTGGATTTGTCGCTGCGCATCTCCCGATGTCTCTGAAGACGCGCTGACGAGATCCACGATACGTTCTCCGATCCACTGAATGAGGTAAGGTAGCAACTGCGCCAGACCAGCATCTCCAGCAAGAGACGACAGAGCAGCAGACCGAGTAGGATTATCGACGGCATCATCACCTGCACTCGACGCTGGCTCGTCTTGCGCGGATCCTGACGCGCCGTCCAGCGCAGCGGGCAATGGAGAGCTCATGATGGCGTCTGTCAGACGCGTAAAGTAGAGCTGCAGCTCGCGAGAGAGAACATGCTTGATCAGAGGTCTGACTTGAGGCGCACTCAACGTCGCAGCAGCGCTCGAAGAGCCCGCAAGCGTCGAGCCACTAGCGCTGGCCAATGTGCTAGGTCCAACAGCGCCCAAAGCTCTGCCTACACCATTGACCGCAGCTGTTCCATTCGATCCAGATTGCTGGTGATGAGCATTGAATGTCTTGGCGTCTTCCTCGAGCGGCAAATGACCAGTCTTGCCTCGATCTGGGTTCTGCGGAATGTCAGGCTGAACACCTTCCACAGCCAACCAATGAGCTGCCCATCCCACTCCCTGACTGCGCTGTAAGGGCGCCTGTCGACGGATAAGGGAGCTGATATCTTCCAAAGAGATTTCGGGATCATCCAAGACGTATTGAGGACCCGAAGTTGTCTGCACTCGCTTGTAGACAGGTACTGCTGGCGCGATCAGGGAGCTGTGTCCTCTGGGCTGAGAGTAGTGGCCGTACAGCGGCTGTCCACGAAGCAGCCGCAAGTGACAGAGTGGGCGGCTGAATAGCATCAGCAACGCAAATTGTAGCAGTGGCTCACAAAATTGCAGTCTGTCTGCACCCATCTGTGCCTCTCTCGTCTGCACTCCTGCACTCCGATATGCGCATCACCGCCCCTTTTTGCTGAACTCACCTCCTCTCCCCATGCCCTGAGCGCCCTATCCACATCTGCAGCTCGCAACTGCGACCTCTTTCCATGTCTCATGTACTTGCTAGCATCTTCTATCAATGTTCTCAATCTATATTCGACGTCTGAGGCTAGAGCATTGAGCGCGCTGTTCGAGGGTGGGACTTGACCCAGACCTTCCGAAATATCGCGCAACGTGTCCAGAGGGAAGAGCGGCGGTGGTGCGTGCGTAGGAGGTGACATGGCTGAGCGCGGCCGACGAGTCGCCCAAGTAGAGTGTGCGATAGCGACGTCTTGGGATGAATGTCGCGGGGGGGGGGATGTGGGAGTGATCGGAATGATGTTGTGCTCCACCAGAAGGCGGCTGTTGTTTGGGCGGACAGGCATCTACTCCGATGTGCAAGCGCGGTCAAGTCTTGAGCACATGCTGCATGGTGGAGATGATCACGTGATACACGTCAGTCTTCGAGCGAATCATTGAATGGCGCGGCCCAAAATGGGTCTGCCTCTTGGCTGAACTCGACGATCTCGATTTGTGCACATTCTTCTGTTTCTTCAATCAAGAATGTTGATTCTTGATTCTCGATTTTGATCCATTTACCTGCAGGGTGCTATTCAAGACTCAAGACATGAGTCAAGAGTCCGAATTGTAGGCTCGTGATGCGTCATCCTTGATTCTTGATTGTGATTCAAAATTGATGACAAGCTTGATAGAGTCAAAATTCTTGATTACTGTGTCATGATCGAGCAGCAATCTCAACCCGAAATTTTTGATTACTATCAATTATGTCATGAGCAGCAATCTCAATTCAAGATCTCTCGACGTGATTGCACACGCACTCTTGACTCTCAGCCTCAAGCCACTGACACCCTTCTCGCACCAAAGTGAGGAGCCGTGCTCTGCTCAACACACAGACTATACAGTCCTGAGGGAGACTGTCCGTCATGTAGCTCTCCGACGAATTGCGGAATTTGGACATGCGGGCATTTGACTGCTCATTCATTGATGGTATCCGAGTCGAGTGTGTACAATTGCAGGTGAGCTTCCATGACTAGCTCTCGTCTACCATTTGAGCTCTATGTGTTTGATATGTGCTTCTATGTTGCTCGTGCGTGCTTCTTTTGGTCTTGTTGTGACCTCGCTCTCTACTTCCACCAGAAAGGCCTCCCTCCTCGTGTGCAAATGGGTTCCTCCCCGTTCAGGTCTCCAATTTGCCCCAATACCTCCTCCTAATCTGCTCCAGCTCTCTTGCCACCCCAATAACCTCCTTCATTTCCCCATCGAACAACCTGAGGTCCTTGACGCCTGTGCATACCCACAGATGTTTTGGCACATCCTCCTCGTCGCAGTGTGGGCAGCTCCTGTCAAGGCTCCAGAAGATGCGGCTCAGTAGAAGGACACATCCAGCGTGAGGTCACAAAGGATCAATGACGCACAGGTTGATAAGCCCTACTTTCGCATCAATCCGGTGTTTGTTCCCTGACTAGAGCATTGCCAAGGCTTGGGCGCCTCCAAGATCGATTCGTGAGATACGATCGTTGCATGCATGCAGATAAATGTCCATTTGAACAACAAACAATCATGAATCACAATTTTGAGTGTGAGTTATTGACAGGATCATGTCTCGCCTTCACAGCTTCGCGGACCCTCGGCAGCATGGACAGGCTGATTCTAGCGAGTTGATTCAAATAGTCCGTCGTTCGTATGTACACACAATCACGAATCGAAATCGGGACCAAAAGCTAGCCCGTCAGTCGTGCTCGAGGCTCGAGTATACTCGTCATTCACGATTGACTCACATTCAAGATCAAGACTCTAAAACTCATCACAATTCAAAGCCACATGCGCGTCGGCTTCAACTTTTTGCTTGGCCTCAAAGACAATCTTGAATGATCACTTAAGAAGAATGACGACTTTGGATACGGGGCCGCAAGTCAAGATTATGATTGACCCAAATCTAATTTGCTCGATAGAGTGATGAGTAATTTTACAAGACACCTCAATTCTCGAGCCCTGCACACATCACGCGATCGACCCCGGACCCACACTGATTCACAGCATGAGGCAGGTATATGTATACCGATAGCTAGGTTTCGCGGGAGTGGGGGCGCGCACAACCACCCTTTGCCGCTTTCCTAGCGCACGAAAACAAGGGCCCGCGGCTCTTCATCCGTCGACTCCGTCTGATGCATGCATGCATGCATGCTGGCATGCTGCTTGATTGATCCAGCAGAAGCCTAAGAGCTACTACTACTACTACTACTACTACTACTACTACTACTCTTGACTATTAGATTATGGGCCGGGATAATGCCCACTCACAATCGATGTCAAATAGCGGATGAAGTTGGAAGTTTACCGGCAGGGCGCGTTCGCAAATCACTGCGTGATGCGCATGAGTGCAAGCTTAAAAAGTTGCCGCTCTCTGTGCATGCACCTGCACCAATCAAGAATCAAAATTACGCTATAGCGGCACGCCGGGACAGCAGCTAGTGAGCGTGAGCTGTGTGTCAGACTCGTGGCCGACTGCACACTGTGAATGAAATGCCCGACCACGCGCCGAATACAGGGCTAGACAGGCTTTTGCAGCGGTTCATGCGGGGGCTAGGTCGTGTATGCTCGTGGTGGTGCTTGAGCGTCTCCGCGTAGTTGGGAGACTTTTGTCAAAAAGTCATGCTTTGCGCAATCACGATGACGAAGCTTGAAAAAGGTGCTCACTCGACCGCCGCTCACAAAGATCTTGGATGTGAAGCGGGATGCACGCCATGAAGGATCGCGTAGCACCACAGCTCGCTCGAGCGTAGATCGAAAAGCGGCCGGGCTGATGGTGCGTGCGCCCGCAGATTTGAACCCAGTCGGGCCGGACAATCAGCAGCAGCATCGATGCTTATTTGCATGGAACGCCGCCGCCCGCCAAGGCACATCCATGCGGATTAGTGTGAGTGTAGGGCTTGCTGCCTACATATTTCGCCTTTTTCAAGACCCCGCCGTGAGCTGCTTCATCAATTGATGCCTCGACCAGCAATCAATGAATTGAGTTTGATAAGCGTGGGCGGGATGGTTCAAGCGGCGGCGGCGTGTGCTAGCCGTCGATTTGCGAGGCATCGCAGTGTCTGCGGTGTTGTGCCTCGCTCGACCTGCGTTCTGCAGGGTCGGCATGCACTGGGCGCTCTTGAGGGAGCTCTATAGGGCAGAGACTCACACACGAGCAGTTAATTGCCTGCACACGCGATGGACCGGTCGGTGAGTTGCTAGATGAACGCTACCGCAATCTTGAATGCTGGCAGCCATGCAGCCCTTGAAGAGTGCGTCCGCGAGTTTTGAGTGGTCTGCCCGCCTGTCTCGCATTTCTCACACCATGCAGCATGCATGCAGATGCGGGAAAAAGCTAGGAATTAAGCTGCATTTAGGCACGATGCACATCATAGCCGCGGGGCGACTCGGCCGCACGCGAGCAGCCTGCATGCATCCCACGCAGCAGCATCCACTTATGGTTGAGCTTTCTAGCTGAGGAGACGCTTCAGGGCTATCGCCTATCGATGGCTCAATCTTCTATAGCGCATTTGCTGTTCCAATCGCTCACCTGCTGCCCATTTGGCCTCCATCGATCCTTCTGCAATCGATGCGCCAGCAACCCTGCTCCTCTTCCACCTCCATGCCCTCTCCTCTTCATTACGACACCTGAACCATCCCAACACGTCTATTCCTCGTAATCGCCACATACCCTTCTCGCCCTGAACACCACCCCATCCGCGCCACCACCGCTTTCCTGACCAGACACGCGATCATCACAGCTCACTCCATCGCTACAGCTTACCACATCACACCTCGGAGGATAGAGGCAGCCGATATTCATCATGTCTGACGCAATCACATCCAATGCTCACGACGTTGAGGGGAACAAGGAGAAATCCTTGCCCGGCGGTTCTTCGCCCTCAACTCCCACCGAAGGCATCATAGAGTCCGATGCTCAAGCATACGGCCAACGTGGCGCGTGGAGCAAGGTCAGAAGCGCTTATGGATTGGGAATGACGCAGGTTGCATTGGTTGGCTGTAGCTGTCTGTTGTGGTGAGTGTCGTCGTGCGTTGAGTGGTGATGAGAGGCGATGGATTTTAGGCAAGGATGATAGCTCAATGGTGCTTGTCCACCTTCTCTAGCCCCGGCATGTTCAATGCTCGTGAGTGTTGCGCGGGCCGCTTTCATCTCGCTGCTTTTCCATGTGCTCAAAGACGCCTCGCCGCGACGCACCGTCTTGCTTCTACGTAGTCGGCGGCATCGGAGGTGGTGGACAGGTGGACCCTTCGGCTAGCTCGAATGCAAACGCTGCGCTGGTGAGCCCATCCTCCGGTCTGACAGCTCGCATAATGTCTGCAGTGGAGGCTGAACGGACCTCTCGCTGCCGGCGCAGTACTCTTGCTTCGCATTCGTCTCATTCTTTGGTGGATCGATTCACAACACGCTCGGCACCCGGCTGTGCCTCTTTATCGGAGCGTGCGGCTATCCACTGTACATCGCTTCCTTCCTCTCTTACAACCACAATCAAAATCGGGGCTTTGTCATCGCGGCAGGAGCCATCCTCGGAATTTGCGCAAGTCTGTTCTGGACGGCTCAAGGTGCCATCATGCTGTCCTACCCTACCGAGCAGCAAAAGGGAACGGCATTTGCTATTGTCTGGCTGCTGCTCAACATTGGTGGTGTGCTAGGAAGCGCCATCGAGCTTGGAATCTCCTACGACAGTACGGCAGACTCTCTTGGAGACGCGGTCTATGCTGTGTTCCTCGTCCTCACATTCTTGGGCGCCTGCTCCACGCTGCTCCTCAAAGCTCCCAGTACCGTAGTCCGTGCAGATGGCACGAATGTCATCGTACCGAAAGGCAGAGATTGGCGCAAAGAGATCAAGGGCGTCGTGATGCTGCTCTTCAAGGATCCTACCATCCTTCTACTCTTTCCCCTCTTCTTAAGCTCCAATTTCACTGTAAGTCCGCGGATGCACGATGATCCTGGACCGCAGCTCACCATGTCGTCTACGTGCATACCCGACGCTATAGTACACTTGGCAACAGCAGATGTACATCGCTAGAAGGTTCACGGTAAGTGGTGGTGAGGTCCGCGAGCGTCATCATCCGTGATTGCGTGGTTGATCGTGCATTCTCCTGCGTCGCAACAGCTTAGGGCTCGTAGTTTGGGAAGCATGCTTTACTGGTTGGCTCAGATGGTAGCTGCGTACATGTTCTCCTTCCTGCTCGATTCCAAGCGTCTCACTCGACGGGTGCGCCTCATGGTGTCTTGGGTTGTTGTCTTCGTCTTCGTCTGGGTCGTCTTTGGTGCATGCTATCACGTTCAGCTGGGCGTAACGCGAGCCAACACGGACCCGGACAATCCCGACCGTATTCCGCTGGTCGATCTGAACACGTCGGCATTTGCGGGAGGAGCGACGCTGTACTTTTGGTGCGGCTTCATGGATGCTCTGATTCAAGGATTCGCGTACGCCATCATGGGAGCCTACTCGAACAAGATGGCTGTGCTTGCAAGTCTGGCCGGATTCTACAAGGGCGTGCAGTCAGCAGGTGCAGCAGCTGGGTTCGGCATGGACAGCGCTGCGACCGGATTGATGACTACGCTCGCCACGACTTGGGGACTGTGCGCCGGTGCGCTACTCATCATGTTGCCCGTGCTATTCTACAGGATCACGAACCACACTACGGACGAGGAAGAAGAGCGGGAGCAGATCAACGAGGAGACGGGCGCGAATCTGCCTCAGCCTGGAGAGAGGGAGGGCAAGCAAGCGAAGGAGGCGCTTGGGAAGGAGGTCAAAGAAGAGAAGCATGCTGGCAATCTGACCAACGACCCTGCGCCAGTCTATCAAGCGTAGATGAGTTGCGTATGCGTGGACAAGCTGGACCACGGTGTCCAAATCGATGCACAGCCTTCTTCAATCTAGCTGCTCGATCTCTACAAATCTTGTCCTCCCTGCTGCTTGGGTTTCTAGTCACCTGCACACGCCGCTTTCTGACGATGCCGTTGTGTGCCTTTTTCTCCTCACCTCTCCCTGCCGATACGACTTGACTTTTTTCCGCATTTTGTACCAGTAGACGCGAACGCCCCTCCAAACATCTCCGGCACGCACTGTTTCGCGCGCAAGCACGACGACGCGAAGGGAGATGATGTTCCATGACAAGTCCGATCTTGTTCGACGCGATGATAGGCAGTCGGGCGCCTTTTGGCGAAAATGAGTGCAATCGTCGAGCGTTCGATGTGGGAAGTTAGCGAACGGGAGAGTGTGCACAGCATAGACATTTTCTTTGAGGCATTTCAAGAATCGGAGAGAGAGAGAGAGAGAGAGAGAGAGAGAGAGAGAGAGAGAGAGAGAGAGAGAGAGAGAGAGAGAGAGAGATGCGAGAGCAATCGAGGAAGCGCAGGGCGGAGGGATCACAATGCCAGGGCGCTTGCTTGTTCACTATTGGCCAGGCGCGTCCAAGCGTGGCATTGAGCTGTGCTGTGCCGGATCACCATCATGCAGCGCTTCGATGCGCTCAAAGAGCAGACCCGAGCATGGTAGACGTGGTTGTGGGCGCCGCGACGGCGGATGAGCACGCACGCACGCACGCACGCATCCAATTCGAGTTCGACCGTTCACTTGCCATCTTTCATTGTGCGCCTACGGGTAGCCCCATTAAAATTCGCGGTGTCGATCGACTTTTGCAGTAGGTCATTTCTGGTACATGTAAGAGCGGGGCTACACGGGTGGTCAACGACACGAAGAGTAAGATGACGGGAAGAGGGCACCAAGCCTAGGACCGGAAATTTTGGAGAAAGTTGAGCGGCGTCGGGCGGTCTGGACCGCCTCTTACGCAGACGGAGCCAAAAGCAGAAAGAAGGGGCGCGCAATGGGCAGCTCGAATTGCACGGAGAGATTGCGTCGGATGGAAAGCGCCGAGATTCCAAATCAAGGCGAAGAATCCTGGCTTCATTTGCGCTTCATACGCCCAGCTTGGCGCTCATCTGTCCTCCTTCTTCTTGTCGCGCGACTCCTTCCACTTCTCCATTCCTTTCTCGAGCATCGCGCCTGTGGGAACGTCAAGGAAAGGGGAACAGGGTGTCAACATCAATACGCGACACCACCAGCGTCAATCGAGGGCATCAAGGAGATTGTCATTGCTGGTCGTGCAAGAACGTTAGAGGCGTTTCCGATCGTCAAGTAATAAGATATGAAAAGAGTCGTGTCGATAAATGTTCGCCGGGCAAACAATATTGCCATCATAGTAGCGCCGTCTTCAAAGCCAGCTGAAGCGTTTCGCCTTCCACCGTTTGTCGGAGGTACTGAAGCCCGTTACGCATAGACTCACCAGTGACAGCACCGAGCATTGCGTCTTGAATACGTTTGCTGTCGCAGAATGGAAAAAGACGAAACAAGAATTGTCGCGTGAGCGCCCCCTGCGTTGCTAGTGGGACGGCCGCAGCTCTGCTTACCCTCCACCGCCGCTAGTCTTCTTGCTCTTAGCACTGCTGTCGTCGCTGCTCACACTGCCCGAGCGGGATCGAGTGTCGCTGCGAGCTTGTCCGCTTCGATGCTTGTGGCCTGTTGGAGAGCTCGGGCAAGATCAACAAGACACCGAGCGCATCTTGAAGCACTTGCGATACTTACGACTCTTCTTGCCGGTATCGTCCCAGCCTTCGGCATACCCGCGCTGCAGGTAGGCCTATAAAAAGCAAATTTTGTCGAAGGACGTCAACCTTGAGTTGACACAAACGCTCACTTGCCCATCGATGGCAGTATCATCGAGAGATCAGTAATAATTGTAACATCAACAGCGTTCTTGCCTCACAAGATGTTTAGACAAATATCGACATCATCGACTTGTCTGGGCAGAATCGGTCTTACTCACCTGAACGTGCGGTGGCACCGGGCCTCCAGGATATCCACCATAAGGCGAACCATAAGGCATCATGCCCATGCCGGCACCAGGAAAGCCGGGATATCCGCCAGCTCCCGGTGGAAATTGCTGTTGCATACCGTACGCACTGGCGTAGCCAGTAGCGCCAAAAGCCTGCGGTTGAGCATAAGCACCATAAGGACCAGCAGCCGTCTGGGGAGGAAGAGCACCGTAGCCTGACATGTAGCCGTAAGCTGCTGCAGCATGAGGCAGTACAGAGGGAGGTGGAGCTCGAGCACCGTAAGCGGACTGATAATATGCAGATGGTCCAGCCGCAGCGCCGTATGGCATCTGCGCAGCGCCTGCACCACCATAAGGAGGCGGCCAGCCGCTCTGGCCTGCTGATGCCCAAGGATTAGCACCAGCGGTACTTGGCCACGCACCAACGCCGCCAGCAGCACCGGGCCATTGGCTCGGAGGCGCACCGTAGCCAGGGTAAGCCGAAGCTGGGTTCTGACCTGCATAAGCACCGTGAGGCGGAAATGCACCGGGATCTTGGCTCGCAGCGCCGGGCCAATCGTTCGGAAGAGGCGCGGTTCGGGAGCGAGAACGAGGATCGGGGGCCGACTGACCAGGAGGCTGACTACCTGGAGGCGGAGGTGGCGGTGGACCACCAGCACCACCGTGACCATGCTGACCGCCAGGATAGCCTTGGTCGTAGCCCGCTCCTGCCGCTTGACCTCTTGCCATGCCACTAGGAGCAGCAGCGCCGTAGCCTGGGTACCCACCTGCACCGTACATGTCGCGAGACATATTCTCGGCCGAAGGTTCGATAATGTTCAGCGCGAACGGAGGGTGTAGACTGTAGTCTGGTGGTGAAGACCACTGAGCCGTGTAGTCGAGCGCTAGTGGAGCAAAGGCCTCAAGCGACGGATCAAAGTGATGTTCGGCGAGCTGAAATTGGCTGCCTTCAAAGTAAGGCGAAGGCGCTGGAGCGTTGAGTTGATGCGACGGAAATGAGGAACGATGAGCGAGCTCCGGCGGATGGCGTGACGATGAGCGTCTAGTCTTGGAAGGATGATCACCGGCCCTCTGCTTGTTTTGATCGCGCTTGTTGGCCAAAGCTGATGCTGCTGCTGATGCTACCGCCGCGCCTGCCGTTGCCAGATTGTAGGCTCCGACTGGTCCGCCGAAGGGCCTGCCTTGACGTAATGCCGAGCCTGGTTTGCCGCCAGTGGTGGCTTGTCTCGCTGTGCTATAAGCTAGCTGGGTCAAAGCCTGTTGAGGGATGAGCGCCCAAGGATTGTTGCCGTTACCGTTATTGGCTTTACCTCCGCCGTGTCCTTTACCTCCTTTATGTTGCTGCTGACCTTGTTGACCCGAGACTAGTTCGGGGATGCGGTGCGCGTTGGTAGCGAGGATGGGAACAGCGTAGTTGGCAGCTGCCTTGACCCCGTTGAAGAATACCTTCGAAGCTGATTGAGGGACGCCGGCTGCTGCTGCTGCACCTGCCGTCGCCCCCACGACCTGAGGGCGACGACTCGAAGAAGACTGAGCCTCCACGGGGCGACTGGTCTGCGGTTTGGTGCGCCGCTGAGACAGCGAGGTACCTCGTGCACCCTTGTTGGCGTGCAGATCAGCGGTGCACTTCGGCTGAGGATTGGCAGAAATGTGTAAAGGGGCTGAGTGGGGCTGACTGCGTCCAGATGACGTAGCTTGGCAACGACTGCTGCTGTCGTCCTGGGCGACTCAGCACTTTAGCTGACGTCGTTGCAAGCTGGAATTAGTATCGCGACAATACTAGCATCAGAGAATGTGCGAGAGTGCACCTAAAGCTCTCGCGGCGCGGGGAGAGGTGTAGAAGTCTATAGACGTGAGCACGCACTCCGTTGCAGGCGAGCGCAACAGGGTGCAACAAGACTCCGACTGACGCTCGTTGTTGGCGGCGTCCGCGTCGGCTGAAAGCTTGGGCGCGTGTGTGCTTGACGAGGCGCCGGAGGCTGCGACCGCGTTGCGCAGATCTGAATGGTCCTGCGCGGCAGGTATTGCGACAGAGGCGAGCTAGGAGAACTCGACCAGATCGAGTGCACAGAGCATATAGAATCGTGCTCCGCCGCCAGATGGGACACTAGGTAGGCCTTGGACTTGAGCCTATGCAGAGATGCAGTTGTATGACAGGCTGCACGGTACGCGCTCGTGGCGACGTCTTGGCTACGAACAGGGCGAATGGCGGGTGGGGCTGCTTGCGACCAGCAACACCAAGTCTGAGCAGCGCGAGAGTTGTCAGTCGAAGTGTTTACCGGAGGACAGAGCTACAAGAGGAGCGGTAATTGGGGCGCGCAAATGTTATGCGTAGCGCGCTTCACGAACAGCACATGCGAGGTGAGGATGCCGACTGGATGAACAAGGCGCGGACAGCAGATGACAAGGTGTTGGTGTTGCAGAGAGAAGGAGCGGTGCATGCGTTCGGATGCTGACTTTTCTTGTTTTGTGATCTGCTTTTTCCTGATGCAAGTCCATCGAGGGAGATCAACTCTGCACGGCAGCAGGCGCTTCTCTCGCTGAGCACATTCGTGATTCTGAGCGTGGACGCTCACCGCTGTCACACTACACCCACCCACCTGTGCATGCACGGCCAGCGGCAGCGCTGGAGTTGCGATGTGCCGAGCGTGAGATGCTGCTGACTCTGACTTGCTCTTCCTTTTCGGACGAGTGCGCAGCCACATGCAATTGTCAGCTTCATCAAGTCGTCGCCATATCAACAATCCTACGCCGCTGTAATTTGTGCTTCATCGCGACCCGTATTTGAGTCAAGAGTGTGATGTCTGCGAAGGCGTCGTCAGGTGCACACGACCGAGTCCTCACACTCACGAGTCACGACCTCGTCACCGCGCCACCCTGCTCGGCAGCGCCATTCCTGATTTTTGCCTTGTCCCGCCTGCCAATCCGCGGATGCTGCTTGCCGGTCTTCGAGCTAGCCGACCGCTGTAATTAATGCGATCAACTGTGCGATCAGCCCTGGCGCCGCAGACAATTAGTCGGACATGAGTCACTGAGTCACACGTCGCGCTTCAGACTCGATGCATGAGGCGTTTGTGACTGACATACTCACGATTGTGATTGGTATGCCGGACTCGCCGAACGCCACGTCAGCTTAACAGCCGCAGAAAAGCGTCCGAGGACCAAACTGAGTCGCCTGTTGGAGGCTTGACGAGGACGCTGACTTGATCGCCGCATCACTCGGAGTTCGTGACTGCATGGCGAGCGAGTCAGGACTCATCGGAGGCCTCATCTTGTATGTTGTCGCGGTGAACGCGTGCTAATAAAGAAAAGACTGAGCACAGAAGAGCTAAATAGAAGAGTGATGTGTCTATCGGATGGCCGCATGAAAGGGCAGCGGGTCGCAACTCGCGACGGCGTCAAGTTGAGAGCTCAGCGCGGTGTGCCTTCAACGAATGCGTGAGCGAATGCGTATCACGAATGATTTGCTGCATGGATGCTGGGGACGTTGAGTGTGTATAACTTGCGGATATTGCCGCGTGCACCTGTGATGGCTTTTTTGTTCTATGGTCCCACCTGCTGCTGGTGCATCGACTTGACTTCGGCCGCGTCGCCAGCCACAGTTAATCCACTCACTATACATCAGCATATGCGCTTCATTCTCAGCCATCAAACGCAAGGTTCAACCCAGCATCCCGCCGGCCGTGAAGGGCGGGAGTAAAACACGCATGCCGCGCTAGCTGTCTGCACAGCTAAACTCACCCGTATTCAATGTAATGAATGCTGCGCAGCACTGCATTACTCATTCCACTGCTCGCTTCACGCTTGTCCGATCTTCGACACTGAGCTCCATATTGCACTGTGCTATACCTTGAGCGCGATCAGCCCTCAAGCAGGATCTTGGGGACAGAGAAAGGAAGGTTGAAGGTGATAGGAGGACTGCATGCTTAGACCGACTCTCTCGCAGGCAAAGATCTCTGATCCCTTCGCGGAACCGCGGAGGAACTGCGTTGAAAGGTTCTTGACCGCGAAGGGAGCGTACATCTACCGTGCAATGCTGCTTTGCTGCTGCAATCCTGGCGTTTGAGAATGTCCAGCTGGCATAGCCTATGCGTTGTGCCAGAGAAAGTTTCGCAGACTGTGAGGATGAGACGTTGGAGTGCGTCGAGCACAGCCGCGTGTCAGCAGATGATAAGTGCAGCCATACAGCACCGATCCTCCGCCACAGACCCTCACCTGTTCCACTTTTCCGCATTTATGTAAAGGTCTGCGTTGCCAAGAAGAGCGGTCAGAATGCTGGAAGGAGCGCGCGCTGGAAACTGCTCGGACTCACAGTCCATCGAGTTGACCAAACCATTCTGGAGCGTCTGTCTCCTTTGGTCGAAAGTCCACATGACCGCTCCCCATACCAGCCCCGCAAAGATGGTAAATGTCTTTGAGTCTGTTGGAATTGGCTTGTGCGAGGGCCAGTTTTCTGCCACGGGTTCGCGTGGTAGAAGGGCCGAAACGACTCTCGCGATGCAGTAGAGGACAATCTAGGGGCAAATGAGGCCAAGGTGGGGCCAACAAGAGCAGTCAGCAAGAAGTCGACACCTATGGCTGTCATCAGACCTCGGACCGTGTCGAGAATCCAGCCGGGCAAGCAAAGGCAGACTGTCCATGTTTTGATGACACCCGCGTGTAAGTCGGCCCCCGACCCAACCTTCAAGCCGCACTCACCTGCTCGTTCACAGCGTTTCTCTCTCCAAATACGACATAGCCTCCGACGACACCGCCAATGAAGCTGTCTAGGGAACGAGGCTTGCCCCCGTTTGTGCGTCTCAGAAGAATGGTCAGCGCCTTGTACAGCGATGCGAACTTGCACAGGTTCAAAGAGTGCTGCTTGGTCGCCTTGAACACGAAGCGCATCCTATCTTGCATCGAGCCGCGTCCGAAGAGAATGGACATGACCAGCGCATGAGGGAAGCGGATCTTGGCTCCGTACACCAGACCATTTCGGGCAGCCTGGGTGAAAGATGAGGAAGCGGAGACCGGTCAGCTGCGCAGGCGCACCCCGGCTCGGAGTGATGCTCGGCACTGACTTTGACGACGGCGAGCGGGTCGTGATAGGCCGGATTCAGAATGATAGACTCGAGAGCTTTCGTTGCGTCCGACATCTTGCTTGGAGTGATCGAGACGTTGGGGAAATGACAAGTCGCTGAGATGCCAATGGTTTGCTCTTCACAAGTGGACGAGACGCTTCTCTAGGGTCATGTGCACGAGCTGTCGTTCTTCTAAGATGCGGAGAGTAGTGCGTTTCACTGTTCAAAGCTGTTGCACAAGGGTCAGCTTGTCAGTAGTACTACGAGGAGAGGTGAAGGATGGATCAGCATCGCCCTTGTTGCCCGAACAGCCAAGATGTCCCCGATTTCAAAGCCTCGTCGATCTGCAGCACATCAGCCGCGCACAAACGTCGCATCAAGCTCCCCGGATTTTAGCGTCGAGCGAGCGCGTCGGCCGTTTGCGTGTGATTCCTCGCGCGCCAGCATTCGGTCACGTGCAACCTCCCCAATTTGAATGCGCACGCATTTGATTCTTAATTCTTAATTGCAGATTTCAAATCATGAAATCATTTGATTATATGTAGCGGGCGGCAACCCTCACGGAGAATTTGGGACGTGTTGTGGTTGCTTTTCAAACGAGCTCTTGCTTCCTGCTGGCTGATGAACCCTGGCCCGCAACACCAGCTGGATATCTCGCATGGGTCTTGGAGGACAATCCCAAGTCATCATGAAGCAGCAGAAGGCATACTGATGTGCTGAAAAGCGCTCGCTTACCCGGATAGCTGATAGGGCGGGCGTGTGCTGCATACATCAGTCACTCGTGACTGTTGTCATGCTGGATCACGTTTGGACGCCGTTTAGCTGCGAGGACACCACCTACAGTCAGACCCGGGGTGGGATCCGAGTCGATCGACTCAAGCGAGCTGCTCGAACGAAGATACAAAGCCCAGAATCACAATCACAATCAGAATCGTGAATGTGAATGATGTATATGTATGCAAATCAGGCACGAGTGTCAGATCATGAAAGCAGTGAGTTCGCTGGCGACTGCTTCAGCTCAATCTGTCGGGTCCCATTATTCGTCTGGCAGTCTACGCAAGCAAATCGACAGAAGAGAGCGCTTAGCTCTTTGCACGCCGACTCATCATACCTTTAGTGACTTGCATTCGATCACAATGGGCAATCATCGGCGATGCACAAGTGTCATGACTCACGACTCAAGACTCTTCTGCTTAAGTTGCGCTTTCTCATCATCGGCAGGACGAGCCAGCAACATGTACGATTTTCGAACTCGAGTGACTGCTGCACATAAGACTCACGACTCACATCCGCGATTCTTTCATCTTATCACGCAACATCCATGAGAGTCGCCAATAGCTCGTCTACTGAGACAGCGTCACACAGACTGATCGAGAGAGCCTTGGAGAAGCAGCAGCTCTGGCGAGCTGATCAATCAGGCGCAGATACATATACACCTGGCTCGTCTCAGCCAGCGCGGTGCTGCATGCTGGCACTCTCGAAGCAGATTGCCTTATCCTGCCATTGCAATATGCAATATAACGGCGGCGCCTTCAGCCCGCGAACACACGTCGTCTCAGACCGTCCGCGGTGATGGCGCACTCCATCAATTAAGTCTCGCACAGCATCGACAGAGCGCCGCGGTGACTGCTCAAGTGCTTATTGAGCTTCAAAGGCATAGGCGGGATCAGCGCCGTCGAGGATGCTCCTGCGAACTCATGGACAGTCGGAATGCAGGCCGGGTCGCAGCTATACAGCTTTGACTTCATCGTGCCGTCGGGCGCTGTCTACTGTGATGAAGCAGCACTTCACCAGCAGCAAGCACAGCGTGAGTGATGGTGGTTGATCATCAGCTGTGAAGCGTGCCAGTCCCAGCTTCCTTCTCGGTGCAAGAAGCTCCAGTGGATCTTTCGCAGTCAAAGCCAACATTTCTCGTGCCAGCATCTCATCTCCCTCTTAGCTTGCTACTAGACAAGTCTAGAGCGCGCAAGGACCTTTGCAACAGGCTGGCAATCCTCAGCATTTGATGAGAGAGCGGACGCAGAGCTCAACGCAGAGTCCACCGAACACGTCTGCATCGACGGTCTAGCTTCGCAGTACGCAGCCCAAACGGCCGGCAAACATGTCTCCTTTTGCTGATGAAGCCTCCAATCAGACAACAGCGGCGATGATTCCGCCTTTACATGCTACGACGACGGAGACGGCGCAGCCGACGCCCCAGGCAGCCAGCAAGCCAAAAGGGAAGAAGAGAGCGGCTCCGCAAGCGCCGCACCCTTCCACTGCCGCGGCGAGTCCAACAATGTCGGTCGGGCGAGTCCATGGACCCACCGCGGCGAATCCGACGATGCCCCCAGCATCGCCGATGCATCCTCAACTTCATCGAAACCACCACCTGCAAGACCACAATCCGCATCAAGCTGTTGCGACATCGCTGGCAGACCTCAGCAACGAAAGCATTGCGAGCGCTGCCACCACAGCATCCAGCAAGCGACCGAAGGTGAAGGCTCAAAAGGTAAATTGCGTCAAGTGCAAGACGGCAAAGAGCCGATGCGACCGTAGCCATGCTGCCGCCAACACCGCGGCTTGTGTCAGATGCGTTGCTCTTGGTCACAGGTGCTCTTTCGAGACGGATCAAGAGCACATCATCAGGAAAGAAAGGGAGGCGAAGGAGCGCGCTGAAGCACAGCAAGAAGAAGCCCGCCAGGCCGGTTCCTCTTCCAACAGACCGACTGCATCCGCTCTTTTACCTGCCCGTGCCAATCCTGCTCATCCCTGGCTGCACGTGGCGCCGAACGGCGAAATCATTCAGGGTGCCAGCTCGGCTGCTTTTGGCTTTCCGTCTGGTTCCATGCTCATACCTCAAGGCGGTCCTCCGATATGTGGGGGAAGAATCGAGCAGGTACTGACCTCGCTTCCAGTGGTTCAGGCAGAGCTCCCTCTTCACCATCAATCGTGGCCAACTCTGGTGCAAGGTCGTTGCAGCCGCTACAAGCTTCTGTGGCCAGCGTCTAGCCTGGCGTTGATGCTCGGTCGAGACGCCCGCATACATGAAGCAATCTTCCAACCCTTCGACTCTCTGAGTGCCATCCGCGCTATATCTGGCCTATCGGAGCAGCACCCAGCCGAGGCTGAGCCCAAATGCAGCGCGCCTGCTTGGCTGCCGCCCGATGCGTGGAGTCCGCCGCAGATGACGACGCAACCGAGCACACCTTCCGCACCGATTCCACTCATGATCAATCGCACCCAGGCGCTTCGTAGCATATTCATTGACTGGTAAGTTCGGAACGCACGTCGCCATGACATGGAACCGTTGCATTCTAACACCTCGCGAAGCACCCTCCACAAGCTTTTCTGAAGCGTATGGTCACCTCATGCCCTGCGTCAGCGTCAACAATCTCTTGAGAAACAGTTCTGCAGGCACACTCGCAGATAACGCTGTGATGCTGCACATGCTCCAGCAACACGCAACCAGCCCTTTCCCCTCTGAGCTGATCTATGGCGCCGCGCCGAACGAGAAGAACATCGATAATTTAATCAGGGAGCTGCGGCGTGATGTCGACTGGGCCGTCACCCTCGCACTGACAGCAGAAGCGTCGTCAGGCTTGGACTTTGAGACGATATTTGGCTTGCTATTTGTCGCCACCTTTCTGCTGTGGCCAAGGGACTGGTCTTCCAAGGACGATCGGCCGCTCTTCCGCTTCATTCCCGATGACGGACTCCTCGAGCAGAAACCAGAATTCAGCCCTAGAAGGCTCGTCAGATCCGCAAGGACAGGAGCGATCTTGGCATCTGCGTACGACATGGCATGTGACAGGCTGGTCAAGGAAGGTATCGAAGCGGACTTAGCTGGTTTAGACATGATGATGCTAGTGAGTGTGGATGCGAGAACGTAGTGCAGCTAGTTAGCTAATCCTCGGTCATCCTGCACGCTCGACGAAAAGTGGTCCGAGCTCGCCCGCAGCGAAGCTGCTCTGGATATCATCTCGCCCACACATCCCAGCCAGCGCATGCACTCTCCACCGCCTCCGATATCTGGATCGGCAGAGATCGTCGCTTCATGTCTCGACAAGATGGTGGCCGCTTCCTCTGCGCAACAGACAAACCAGCCTTCGACGCAAGGTGCAAAGCAAGAGAGGATCGGGGCAGATCAACGCCAGATGCCGGACGCGGAGCGAAGCCTAGCGCTTCAAAGGTGCTCCCTCTTTCTGCGACGATGCGCCATGTGGGATTCCGTCGTCGTGTGCGTGCGCACGATGCACTTGCTTCTGGCAAACGTCGGGACCACCTCATCCATATCCGACAGCGCCATGTTCGATGCCTGTGTAAAAGAACTTGAGGATTGGATTGGCGTGTGGAATAGCCAGCTTCGAGGGTTGAGGCAACCATGTCGGCTCAAGCTGCGTACTTTGGAATCATTGGTCGAATTAGCACTGTTGGAAGCGACCAATCTGCGCGCTCAGGTTCTGCTATTGCGATATGCAATCGAAAGTCGCGCCTGGCCCTGGCCGCTAGGAACAGACTCTGCCGCACTACTGGAGAGAGGCCATATCAGCTCTAACGCTGGGCTTGCAGCACCTCGACACGGCTCCCTACACGTGCATGATCACTTCAACCGAGGAAACGCTTCGCCTTTACATGCTGATCATGGTCGACAGATTTCTCCTCTTCCTGTCCACGTACACATGGCCAACGAGGCCAGACGTGTGTTGCTAGCTTGCCGAGATGTTTTCGCCCGCGTCAGCACCTCAACCTTCCAGGAAAGTGCGATGGCCTTATGTGTGCCATCTCCAACCGAACTTCTGCCGCTGCTTTCCTCTGCCGCTTTGGTCGTGTTGGAAGCTGATGCCTTTCGTTACGCAGCACGTGCCAAACAAGGTCATCAATTCGCCAAATGCAAGCCCGACCTGTCGTCAATCGCCCAGTCGAACACCGAGTGGGCACATCCGCTTGGCCAAGTAGACATCGCCCTGCTCAAGAGCGTCATGGCTAGGTTGCGTGGGAGCCAGCTCGACGTACAGGACTGGAAGAGAGCGCCTCCCGAGAATTTCGGCCTCCACTCGATGTTCAGTCGAGCCGGGCTCGCGACTCTTTCTCGCACACAATTGTACTTCGCACTTGCTCTTGAACGCATCGTCGATGCGTACGAGCACCGAACTGCTGAACATCGCATTCCTGGCTTCATACCTGCACCGCTTTGGCCAAGTCGGACTTGGATCGATCATAGTCCATTCCGCGCTGCCGCGGTCTCTGCAACACCTCAAGGCGGAAGCTTCCCAAACGCGCACCAGCAGCATGTGAATCCGGTCCTGGTCCACAACGCTATGCATGGTATGACGGGAGACCTAGGCAGCGCCTCCGTTATGATGTCTTCACCGCCAGCGAGCGCCCATCCTGCGTCTCTTTCAGCACCCCAATCGTCTCCTCCTTTGCCGCCCATGCCAAAGAGTGCGCCAAGTCATGTGCACTCGCACGCGCAATCCCTTCAAGAACAGCAGCTCCAATCTCAATCTTTGTTACCGCACGGCACCAAGGAGATGATTGAGATTGCCGAGCATCTTGCCGGTCTCCTCTCCGACTTTTGATTCGTCTCAGCAGGAACGGCGCGGTCCTGTGAGGTCGAGGAGTTCAGTCCACATCAAATGTACACACGTCAGCTCTCCGTCGGGCCGTCGTCTGATCGCAAAAGAAGCGGCGCTCTCAGATGCCCCTGACCACCTGCCTCGACTCGAGCGGTTCCGACCGGCTGTGTGCTCCGACTGTCACGAAAGCTCTTCGATGTACGCTATACACATCGCAACTATCGGATGTCTTCCTCAACGGCGAAAGAGTGTTGCGTGGCCAAGCTATCAGGGCATGGATGCATGCAAATTGCAGTGGTTCGGTATACTGGCGCGGGTTGTAGGTGGAAGCGCCCGTTCTGCTGGTCGTGTAGCGTCGTGCAAGCACATGGTAGACTGATCACGCTTCGAGCTGTCTCCTTGGGGCGGCGGATCCAGGTAAATGCTCTAGTGCTTGTCGGCCTGCGTAGCGCTCAGCATTCGAATTCGTCGTCGCAGTCGTAAGTCGCCAGGTGCTACAGGTCCGAAAGCCTGTGCTGAAATCGACTAGCTCATACATGCCGGCGGCTCTCCATGAAATAGAGTGTAGGTGCGTGGTAGAGGTGCCGACAGGATCACTACCACTCGCTTCTCGCGCTCTTGGTCCGACTGCGTGCGTCCTGCTGAGCCGAGGGCGCAATTTGGAAGAGCGCCTGTAGCGGGACAAATCATCTTTGAGCGCTCAAACACTTGCCTTGCAAGTTGAATCACAAATGAGAGCAGGTCTCAATATATGCAATGACGTGCGATGCTCATCTTTCGGCACCACCTGCTGATCTAGCATCGGCAACGCGGCTCGCTTTGCGAGAGGCTAGCTCACTATGGCCGACACTTTCACAACAGCAACAGAAGTCCTGGCTTGACTCCCAGCTTTTCATCTGCCACTCGTCAACCCTCCTGCCTTTTGCCGGGCGAGGGAACAACAGGGCGTAGCGCGGCCACCATTATTTTGGCCGGCATTCGGAGTGAGTTGCCGCTCGCTAAACCTCGCAGCGAGTCTTGATCACACGATCATGTCGATGAGGGAATGCCTATCCGCCGAATGGGCTTCCAGCGCACGCTCGACTCCGGTGTGGGAACCTCAGCTGCTTCACGAGGGGGTTTGCGGCGGTAAGCTGGTGTCGAGCGCGCGCCCGCACCTCAGCTCATGTTATTGAAGGCTTTCCATCCGAACCCCGTGCCCTTGCAACCGCCGAATAAAATTGAGAAGATGCCAAATCTGGGGACGCGATCGACTCATACTGTGACGCTACTGTCCATTGGCATCAGCGGGAATGTCTCACTCTCGTCAATGGGACAGGCTAGGAGGTTGCCGTCATGGACCATTAATGCATGTGGAGCCGACGGAAATTTATGCGAACTTGCGAATCGACACGTTCACAGCAGCATCTGCAGCTGCAGTGCAGCAGGAGGTGGAGAGCACGCAACGAGCGGTGGATCTCGTGCTTAGCTTTGGAAGCGTAACGGTCATGCAGCTGCGAGCGGCGAAACGCGCTCCTTCAAGACCCTTGCGGTTTCAGCGACGTGTTGATGGTCGGGTCGGTATTTATCATAGCGGGCGCGGGTACCAATCCTTAAGGTATCCACGATCTCTCGACCCCCTGTTTCGACCTCAACGACCTTCGCTCGCCCCTCAAAGTTTGGGCTACGGTATCGTGATGGGCTGGCCAGACTGAAACAGCTTCAACAACATTCATCCAGTCCTCGATTCTTGCAAGCCTCAACTTCCTTTGCTCATCTCGAAAACGTTTTTGGAAACATCTCGTCGACCACTGAGCCTTTCGCATCTTTAGAGCGCAGCACGCCTCGCAGAATTAGCACGCTTCCAGGCAGGCATCTTGCTGCAGGCAGACATCTGTCGAGCTGCTTGCACTCCCGCGACGATGTCCTTATCCCGAAGTTCCTCAACTTCCTCTCGACGAGGGCGGCAAGGGGCGGTCTCTATCTCTCGCCATGTTCCAGACAGCTCCGTGAGCCCAACACGCACTGCAGCGTCACCCAGTCGCGACGCCTCGCCAAATGGCGGATCCACGACGGTCAACTCGCTGTATCACTTGCAATCTTCCAATTTGAAAGAGAAGCTCGATCAGCCTCACGACGACGCGCCACCTGGCGTTACGTTTGCAGATGTGAACGATGAACAGATCAGAAGGTCTCCTGATGCGGTGGAGGACGCTGTGGGCAGCCAGCTCGAAGATGGTGCCAACGATGTCAAGACAGAATCATCAGATGGCGGACTTCCAGCGCGCAAGAAGCGCAACCCGCACCTCGTCAGCTTCGAGGTGAGTCTCACGTCAATGAGCGGGCACGCTCGATTTACACGAGCGACGTAATGTCCAACGCTCCATGCTGATCGTCTGTCGGACATTCTTGACCTTCAGTATCTCGACAAGGAAGATCCGAGGAACCTTGGTATATGGCGGAAATGGTCTATCCTGGGCATTGCATTTGCGCTGGAGACATGGGCGAACGTCGGTGAGTACTGCAATCGCGCAAGTTGAGCGATGTGCTGATGGTTTGAGCTGAAGCCGACTCACCCACTCGTCCGCCGCATAGCCTCTTCAATGGTCGCTCCTGGAATCGAAGGGATGGCTGACGATCTCAACGTTTCGGTCACCAAGGCGCGCGTCACGCAAGCGGTCTTTCTGTACGGCTTCGCTGTCGGCGCTGTGGTGACCACACCCGTCTCGGAAGACTATGGACGTCGGCCGACAGTCTTTGGATTTTCTCTTCTCCTGGCCATCTTTCAAATCCCGTGTGCCTTGGCGCCCAACTTTGCCACTGTGGTCGCATTCCGACTCTTGTCTGGCTTCGTGGCAAGCGTGGCATTCACCTCGGTTGGTGTGATCAACGACTTGTTCGAGGCAGACAATCAAGGCTGGGCTGTCAACACGTTTGCCATATCTGCCGAAGCAGGGGCAGTCATTGGGCCAGTGATTGGCGGCTACTTGTTCGAAGCTGCTGGATGGAGATGGATCTTTGGCCTGCTGGGTCTGGTACAGGCTCTCCTGATCGTCCTATACTTTTTCGGCGTCCCAGAGACGAGAGCGGGAATCATTCTTGCCAAGCGCGCCAAGCGCAAACGGTCGGAGACGGGTGACGACCGATGGTTTGCCAAGCATGAAGAGGATAGGAAAGCACACACGGCCGCTGTTCTCATTAGGGAGACTGTCACCAGACCCTTGTTCATGCTCTTCACCGAGCCCATCGTATTCTGGTTCGCTCTGTTTGATGGATTCAAGTGAGTGCACAGAAGCCGAGAGGTATTGGCGCACACAAACTGACGGCGATGCACTCGCTGTCCTTTTGCAGCTACGCCATCGTATACCTCTTTCTCGAGGCATTCGCACTCATCTACGGCCAGTACAATTTCAGCATCGGCGCCCAAGGCTTGCCGTTCCTGGGAGTTCTGGTTGGATTCCTGATAGCCTACTTTGGATACCCAACACAGATGGCGTACGAGCGTCGTTCGCGCTCCCGCAACGATGGAGTTCTGCTACCCGAAGCGCGTCTAGCTTGGAGTCTTCCCGGAGGTGTGCTCTTTGCCGGGTCGCTTTTCTGGTTTGCATGGACCAGCATACCGTCGATCCATTGGATTGTGCCGACGCTAGCAGCGGGTCTATTTGGCGTATCCAGTCACATCATCTTCATCGCGGTTTCGGATTACACCATCGATGCGTACGGTCCCTTTGCAGCCTCGGCCGTCGGAGCGCAGAGCCTTTTGAGAGAAATCCTTTCCGGAAGCGTTACTCTCGTGGCTGAGCCCATGTACCACAACCTGGGCTACCAATGGGCATCCTCTCTTTTGGGTTTCATCGCTGTCCTCTTGGCTTTTGTGCCTCCCATCCTCTTTTGGTTCGGATCCAGCATCCGCAAGCGGTCCAGCTTCGCTCAAGAGATTGCTGCAGCAGAAGAACACGCCAAAAGGGAAGCTCAGATTGCCAAGATGGTCTACACTAGAAGCTTGTCCATCGCCCCTCAAGCATGATGTGCGAGGCTCGTCGATCTCTGAACCTTGTAACTGGGCACAGTCCGGCCATCCACCATCTCAAGATTTGCACCCCTCTTTGGTGATGGTGGCGTACAACGAATTGAGTTCTTCTTGTCACGAATACAATAGAAAGATCTCAGCATCGATCCGATACAAGATATCCACCGTACATCAAAGATTATGTAGAGCGCACACTCAAAATCAACATGCACGAACCTAAGCACCACGCCGGGCGGCCCATCGTGCGGCCAGCGATTCATATCTACTCTTCAAGATTATTGATGCCATGCTTTACTTCATATCAAAGATAGAGTTCGAGTCAAAGTAGAACGATGCTTTCGTCTTAATCAAAATTTCAATATTCGTGATTGAGTGATACAGTATGCGATTGAAGATTCAAGATTCCAAAATTGCTGATCGCTCTGCTGGACCGACGCGCGCTAATTGACGAATTTGGTGCGCCTGTGCGCGCTTGCGCCCCCGCAACAACCACCATATACCTCGAGCAGCGCAAGCAGCGCCGCGCCTGGGGCCTGCATGGATGAGGATTGAGACGCGCGCGCGCAGCTTGAACGCTCGTGACTCGTGACTCGTGACTGGATAATTTCAGAGCTTGACTTCGTGATGCAACGCTCGACTCAAAACTGTGATTCGATATTCGTCACGCCTTCTTGATGATCATCACTCCTACACATACAAATCTCGACCAGACTCAAGATTCAGCTGTCCCGTTCTCAAGGGGCTCGATCGTCGTCATTCAACGGGTATTTGCGTCGCGCTGAGGAGCAGTGGAGTCCGCGCAGGCCACGTAGAGGCCAGGTTGCAGCAGTAGGAATGGATGCCGCTAGCGTCGATCCGATCACGCCTGGCGATAGCGAGCGAGGGAAGAGCGTGCTCCACGCTTCCACATTGTCCGCGACTGCCCGATCTCAGATCTCATCTCCATCGTCTGCAGCCAACGCTGCTCTGCCAGGGTCGATGCAAGCAGCATCGCCCATCCTGCCTACGGCCGTTCCTCATCGAACCTCTTCCTTTACAAACCTCGGCCCTCACTCTCGCCCATCCACCAGCACATCTGTCTCCTCTTCTTATTCGCCCGACTTTGGAGCGAGATCCAGCTCCGTGATGGCTGCCAACAGACCGCCTCTGCCTGCTCTATCGGTGCCTCAGCCTGCTGCTGCTGCTGTAAACAGTATGACCAGTCCAGCTCCCAGCACTGGACCGAGTCAAAGCTCTACGTCTGGCAGCGGCAACGGCAGCGCTTCTCAGGGTCATTTGGGAGGTGTGCAAGTCATCGGCATGACACCTCCTTCCGCTTCGTCATCTTCATCTACTGCTGGCAGGACAGATCAGTACGGACAGCTGCTGGGCAATGAGTCGACAGACTCCTCTGGCGGATCAAGAGTCGCGCTGGGAGCCTTCAGTCCTTCGGGTGCCATCTCCGAGCTGCCTCCTCTAGGATCTGCGAGGGGCAGCAGCACGGGTGCCTTGGGTCACGCTGGATCGCCATCAGCACCGCGGTCTACTCGCCTGAGCCACAAAGACTCGTTCGGAGGTACGCTGACCCCATCCAGCAGTTCGAATGGTCTTGGATCTGCATCGAGCAACGCTGTGCGCACGCGCGTATCGAAGCGTTCGAATCTTCAAGCCATTGCCAGGTCCAACGACACCAGATTAGCGACCAGTTCGCGTTCAGAATCATCAGCTGGGCTAGACGAGCAGGCCGAAGACGAGATCGACGGCGTGGCCCGTGAGGAAGAAGAGGAAGAGGAGGAAGAGGAAGAAATGGCGAGCGCTCATGAAGGCGAGATTGAAGGCTCCATAGACGAGGCTGAAGCGACGCACGATTCGTATAGGGAAGCCTTCTCTCCCTCTGCTCGTGTACGACCGCTACCAGTCGTCGGCTCGACAACTGAAGAAACTGGAATACCCAGCAGACCGACCCCCGCTCATCAAGCCAGCTCGAGCGGTGGTCCTTCCCGCCGAACAGCGCCCACCACCTCCAAAGCCCACGACGCACCAACAGTGATGGATACTCCCTCAGCAGTACCAGGTGGCCCAAGCAGCCAGCACGAGGCCTCCTTTGCAGCCTCGCATTCGAGGAACACCACGCTACCGGGCGCGTACATTGCGACAACATCCGAAGCTCGATCAGCAGGAGCGATTCCTGTTTCGGCTACCAGCACGCCTGCCACTATCGGCCCAGGAGCGCAGGTCGCCAACTCTGCATTTGTAGGCGGTAGCGCAGGCGCACCACCGGCATCAGCACCCGCCGGCACCACAGACTCGACGGTTGCCTCCCGGTCTGTTCGCGCCCCTGGTGGCTCGATCCGACGCGAACACAGGAGTGGAGGGGCCGAGAGCTCGACCGATGCTCAGCAAAGCAGCGCCTCGCGCAGCGGAGCCACCAGGTCCGCTACCAGTACTCTGAGAACCACTACAGCAGGCTCGACTTCGCGTCAAGGAGGGAGCACGCGGATTGCTGAGGCTGCAACAACGAGCGCAGATCGTGCAGTCGTCAGCTCTGCTAGCAAATCCCAGTCGTCTTCTAGAGCTTTGCCAGCCTTGCCCAGCGCACCCGGTCTCACTGCGGCCCCGCCGCCAGCCATGTACTGGTCCAAAGCGCCCGTGCATGGATCCGTGCCCCGTAGAAGTTTCAGAGCTCACACAGCCAGTCTAGCTGATGAAGTTCTGTGGCTGTTTGGAGGATGCGACTCGAAAGGTTGCTTTCGGGACCTTTGGTGCTTCGACACTGGTGAGTTCGATCAGCGCCGCTTGTCCATTGCTTTCCGGCCTAGCTCACGCTCGTGTTCGTCTTGACAGAAACCATGTGCTGGTCCAAGCCGAAAGTCACTGGGGACCTTCCGCCCCCCAGACGCGCTCATAGCGCGACTATGGTCGATCGAAGGCTCTTCGTCTTTGCGGGTGGCGATGGACCACACTACTACAATGATCTCTTTGTCTTCGACACCGTGTCGTTGAGGTGGTCCAAGCCGGTAGTCTCTGGCACTGCACCGTCTCCACGCCGTGCGCACACTAGCAACTACTGGAATGGTCAGTTGCTCATCTTTGGCGGAGGCAATGGTGTTGGTGCGCTCAACGATGTGTTTGCGCTCGACATTGGCAATATGGACAGGCTGGAGTGGAAAAAGGTCGAATGCCAGGGCAAGATTCCGATAGGACGAGGTTACCACACCAGCAACCTCATTGACGGCAAGCTCATCGTCATTGGCGGTAGCGATGGGCACATGAGCTTCAACGATATCCACATCTTGCGTCTTGGTGAGTGCCTGCATGTGCTCATTGGGGCTTATCGAGGCTCATGCTGTCCCTTGTGCGCGTCGCAGACACGAAAGTGTGGTATCAAGTCAAGACGGACGAGATACACAATCGGCTAGGACACACTGCCACGCAGGTAGGCTCATACTTGTTCGTCATCGGTGGGCACAACAGCCACAACTATACACCAGAAATTCTCACCTTGAATCTAGGTGAGTGCGAAAGCTATAGCGATTGTGTGCTGTGCTACGTGCAAAGGTCAGGCGTCATGGAGCGCTCTTTTGACACCATCGCTCGTCGCGAAATCTCTGCAGTCAATCTGCAGTGGGAGCCACGTCGTGTTTGCGGCAGAAAACCGCCTGGTCGAGGCTATCACCAAGCGTGGCTGAGAGATTCTCGGCTCTTTATTCACGGCGGTTTCGACGGAAAGGAGATTTATGACGATTTGTACTACGTCGACTTGGCCGCCTGTGCTTACTTGCCCCAGATCACTAGCTTTTCAGTCGAGGTGAGATGCACCAGTAAATCGTTTTCGTACGACGTGGAGCTGATCAAATCTGCCCTTTTTCGTCTTTGTGCGCGTGGTCATGCAGCTCGACGACGAATGAGCGCTGTTGGGAAACTTTTGTCATTACATTTGCTCGCGCAACCCGTCCCCCGGCTGCCAGTCGCGTGATTCTTGGCGCCGTACACTAGCGTTCCAAATGCAATGAGTAATACACCCTCACGATGTTGCGCATGTTCGTATCGTAGGTCGCACACGCACTTTCATCGATGCGACCAAGACAATCATAGCCGGGAAGAATCGGTTGATCAATTGATAGATTGCGGTTCTGTTCTTTCACTGAGGATTACGTATGGATGACCGAACCTCTGAATGAATGCACATTCTGACCAGCGTGCAGCCTCCTACAGCTCATCGTGATGCTGTGAGCCTTGTTGCTTTGCGGCCTCACTGTCCGCTGACCGTATGTCCTTCTTCGAAGGTGGTGGATCATGCGTTCCAGCTACTGCTCTCCTATTTTCCAGCCTGCTTTTGACCAGATCGATCATCTTGTCCACCTCTGCCAACTGATCGTGGGTCATGACGTCTTTCATCTTGTCTCTATCAGCCGACAATTCCTCCAAGAGCCAAGCTTCGTTTTGCCAAGCCATCCTTTCGGCCTCTTGAGGATCTTCGCGGGCAAGCTGTTCAGCCTCCCTCTGCGCCTTTGCAAACTCGTCGCCGTACGTCTCTGCCCAATCATTGTGCTCCGAAGTCATCCACCTCTCAAAGGATTTCAATAGAGCTTTGCGTTTGCGCGCAAAGGGTCCGCTCGTCTCATCGCCCTCCAATTTGCCCGCACTGCCCAGCTTTTCGGCCAACGACTCCACCACTCTGGACCCGCTCGAAGCTGCCGCTTCCACAAATTCGGCTCCAGCATCTAAAATATCAGCAGCAGCTTCGCTTCCAGCCTCGGCAGCCTGTTTGACGAGCTTTGCAGCCGAATCAAAAATGTTGTCCTTTTGCTCCTCGACTGGTGGAAAGTCATCTGACGACTTGTCCAACTTCCAACCATCCGCAGGTTGCTTTTCCGGAGCAGCTTTGCGCCTTTCCGTCTCCTCTGCTTGGCGCTGCATATCGAGGATCATTTGCCTTGCTCTGTCCTTGTCCAACATTCCGCTGCCTTCGCCCGCACGTCCCAATAGGCGCTGAGCATCCTCATCCGTCTCGACCGTATCCACAATGTTGCCCTCATCGTCCCTCACATTCACAGGCACTGGAAGCTTCTTGCCCTTCTTTTTGCTCTTCGGATCCGAATTCACCGCTTTCCACTCGTACGTTGCTCCCTCTGGAAGCTGCTCGTCCGCACTGCTGCCGGAAGCCTTGACAGCTTCCTCCCTCTCCCTTTCTCTCTCTTTTTGCTCCTTGGCAGCTTGCTTCTTCACAGCAGCTCTCCTCTGTCGCTCCTCCTCCGCCTTTTGAGCTTTTTCCGACTTTGCGCTCTTCTTCTTCTTGTCGGAACCCTTTTCCTTCTCCTTGAGTTGGGCCACGCGCTTGGCCTCTCGTTCGTCCATGGCACCCAACTTTGGAGCGACGTGATCCAGCCACTTTTTCAGAGGCGCATATGCCAATTTGCCCTCGTACGTTTCGAATTTGCCCTTTTCGAAATCCTGACCTTCTTTGCGCGCTGGAAAGATGACCAGCACGGGAAGATCTTCGGCAGTGGGAATGTCTAGGCCCAAGTCCAGTCGCGCGTGCGAACGAACCAGCGCTTCGTCCCCGCGAGCAAATGCGAACGGGACGCGGGTGCGAAAGTCGAGGGCGAGAGAGCGGAGGAGGGGAGAAGAGACGGATTTGGTGGTGAAGAGGATGACGGAGGGACGTGTTGGATCCTGCGTGCAAGTGGGCGCGGGGTGGGGGGAGAGATTGAAGAAGCGTCAATAAGGGATGATCGCAGCAGCAGCAGCAGCAAAAGCCATCGCGCTGGCGTTTGAACTCACGGCATCGACGAAATCGATGAGAGCCTCTGCGGTCAGCTTCTTTGCCGTCTGAGGCAGACTTTCCGCGCCAAACTTGGCCAACTCCTTTGCCGTCCTCTCGCCTCGATAATCCCTCGGCAATCTCTTCTTGGTAGCGGGAAAGAACTTGATGGTGGGGAAACCTTGCACGCCGTACCTGGCGCACGTCTGCTTGTTCGAATCCTCGTCGCAATCTACATTGACGAATTTGATGATGCCGCCCAGCGACTTGGCAGCTTTAGAGTATTGCGGCACGAGGTTCTTGCAGTGACCGCACCAGGGAGCTGTAAAGGCGACGAATGTGGGCTTCTCGATGGAAAGCACTTCGGCATCGAACGTCTTGCCCGTCGCTTGCACCACGCCAGAGTTGGCGGGAAAGAGGGCGCAGAGCACCGTCGTTGGCAGCAGCAGCAACATCATCATCACCATGACCACGCTCACGCATGAGATGAGGTTGGTGATGCCTCTGCTTGCCATGATGCGAGGTGCGTGCGATGCGCTGTTCCTCAACGGCCTCATTTTGGAATGAGCCAGCTGGCTTTCGCTGAGAGCGGTGTGCGATGTGCCGACGGGCTGAATGTGGGGGGGGCGGGGCGGCAAGCAACGCTGTAGCGCGCTATATATGTTGGTCGTCGACCGCGATGCAGAATTGTGAATCAGAGTCAGAATAATCGTGAACCAGAATCAGAATGCAGCAAGCGGATGTGCGATGATGCGGTGATGGGAGCGGGGGGAGCGTGCCAAAATGCTTGTGCTTGTGCTTGTGCTTGTGCTTGGATCGACGCAATTCATAAAGCAGCAAATCAAACGTGCATGTCGAACACTCGCACCTCTCCCCCGACACTTGAGGTGACGGTGACTGGTGAAAAGGTGAATCACGAATGGATGATCGAGTAGGTTGCATTTATATTCTAATTCTGGCTGGCTGGCTGGCTGACTAGCTTGCTGGCGTGACATGGCATGGCGTGCAAATGCACACATGCTGTGCTGTGCAACCCTGCATGCCCTTCCACCCTCGCGGTTCCACGTCACCATCATCGTGCCCAGAATAATGTAAATGTAAAATGTGAATTTGAATTCTGAATGTGAATGTGCTGGATGATTATTCACTATAATATATACTTAAGCGCGTGCGTGCATCATGCTGTGTCTGCGCCGCACTCGCATTGACTTCTCCGCATCTGCACGTACCTACGCGGTATAGCGCATGGATGACCTCTCGTGCGAGAAATCTGCACCGGTCTAGTCTGCCCGTGCTGCGATTTTATTCACAAATTTTGGACAAAAAGTCGAAGGGCACAAGCTTTTCTGCGATGTCAGTCGTGAGTCGGATGCGTTGTGGGAGAAGTCGTGAGCGATTCGGTTCGTATTCGTGATTCAATTGCTTACATGGATTCCTATTCTCACCATTAAAGCAACCGCGCCCCCAGCTCGTCCAAGTGACGCAATCATATACCGCTCATCGATCGCTCATCACTCATTTTGATTCAATATTCGTGATTCGGCACCTCGCGTCGGCCTGAAATTGGCGCGACGAACGATCAATCAATCCATCGCACGCACGCGAATCACAGAAAGCGGCGAGCGGCGAGCGGAAAATCCGTTCACGCAATCATCCTTCTACTCCTCACTCGTCGCATCCACCCCACCCCGCCCCAACCCACTCAACCTCACACTCACACTCACACTGTGCTGCATTCACAATGTCCAGCCTCGAGCACGACAAGAAGGCTGCCAAAGCTGAAAAGCGAGCGGCAAAGGAGGCAAAACGCGCGAACAAGGCCCTTCAAGCTGCTGCTGCTCCTCCTCCTCCTCCCCCTGCCTCCTTTGATGCAGAGTTGGCCGCCATGTTCTCCAACGCTCAACCTGCCTACTCGTCACTCGACACCTCCACTCAACATGCATCCGACAAAGCACCATCACATACGCAGCGCACTCAAGGCACTCGATCAGCGCCACACTCGTCCACGCAAAACACAAAGAGACGCAAAGTGAGATCAGAGGCTGAAGGTGAGCGGCAAGCGCCCGCACTGAGTGGTGGGCCATGGTTGAGCGATACGGACAGCGGAGAGAGCGAATTGCAAGCCTTGTCCGATGACAAGGCGCAACAGCGACGGCCCCATGGCGACGAGGGCGGGAAAAGCGACGGGGAGGAAGGCGGATCAGTGGAGTTGGTCCATGAGTCCATCCTGGCCGCTCGCAAGTCCGCCAAGAAGGGCAACAATGGAGCGGCGCATCCCTCATCTGCAGAAGGGGCGGCCGCAAGCGAGCCCAAGGTCGTCGAAGCAGCCGGTGAAGACGACGGGAACAGTGAAAGCGCTCGAGCGATCCGAGATGCGCGGACGCTATTCGTCGGCAATATTCCCTTGGCAGTCATGTCGTCCAAGGCTCTGCGCAGGAAGCTCCTTCGTCATCTTCAGCTCTGCTCTCCCTGGCCCTCTCGCACTTTGTTGGAGAAATTGCGCTTTAGGAGCGTTCCATTCGCAGTGCCCACAGGAGACTATACCGCGCAGAATGTCGAGGAGGCCAACGCCAAAGCAAAGAGGAGAGAGAGGGCTAGAGTGTGGAAGCATGAGAAGGAGGAAGGTGCTGGATCGGCACCCGCTCAAAAGTTCCTCACGCCTGCTCAAAAAAGAAAGGTGGCTTTCATCAACGAGGAGCTCAACCAACAAGCTCATTCCGTCAATGCCTACGTCACAATCGCGATGCTGGACAGCGCAGATGCAGACTCGCCCGCTGCATCGGACTTCGAGAAGAATCTTAATGCGCAAGGCATCGCTGCCCTCACCGCTCACCAAGCAGATGGCACCGTGTTCGAAGGGCGACACTTGCGCGTGGACATTAGCGCTGCTATCCCAGCATCTCATCGAGGCGGTCTGCCACCAACCTCGTCCCTTGGCACTCCACGATCGGATGTGCAGGATGCTCCATTCACCGCATTCGTCGGTGGTCTGGACTACAATGCGGACGAAGAGAAATTGTGGACCTGGTTCGACCTGCTTCTGATCAACGAGATGGGAACGCCTCCTACATGGGAAGCGCTCGAGGACAGCAAGATTTGGAAACGTATGCCTGCACCTGAATCTCGCGCAACGGATGGATCTGGCGCTGGTCAAAGCGAAGTGCAGAAGGGAAAAGAGAGCGATGCGGATACGTCAGACGGGTCAGACGAAGAGGAGTCCGGTCCCACGTCAAAGGCAACACATTCGGACAAGAAGGCGTGCCCACCAGTGCCACAGCGCGGCAGCTCGTGGGTCAGATCGATTCGATTGGTCCGAGACAATGCGACGCAATTGGGCAAAGGGTTCGGATACGTCAGATTCGCGAGCGAGAGCTGCGTAGACGAGGTTCTGGCACTCGCGGCGCAGGACGAAGCCGTGCTTGGCAGTCGCCATACAGGTGCTGGCGGTGGGGACCGGAATGCAAAAGCATCGCAGGCTCGCGCTGCAGGGGTCAAGGAGTACAGAAGAAAGATGAAGTTTGAAGGTCGACCTATTCGCGTATCCAAGTGCAAAATGACCACAAAGAATTCTGGTGCTGGAAGACGCGCACTCGATCAAAAGAAGCAGAGGGAGGAGCTCAAGAGGAAACGCAGCGTCGATGGCGATGCGCAGGAATCTCTCTCAACACCATCCAGGGTGAGAAGTGCAGGAGCTCCTACACCTGGCGGATCTTCGCCTGGACAAAAGAAGAGCGCTACAGTTGCGGACACGCCTACTCAGCATCGACTCTCCTCTTCTTCAAAGCAAGTGGCCAACCCTGGCCCATCCATTCCGTACGACGCAGCCAAGCAGGCGCGCATAGAAGCAAAAAGAAAAGATCCGGAGAGATTGAAGAGGAGGGCAGAGAAGAAGGAAAAGAAGAGAGCTGAAGAAGCTGAGGTCAGGAAGCTGAGGGATGTGCTGGGAGATGAGGCTGATGGCAAGCGCAAAGGCAAGGTGAGGATTGAGATGAAGCAGAAAAAGCGGGTCCCCAATGGATCCGAAAAGGGCAAAAAGGCGGAACGGAAAAAGAAGAGCTCGTCGAGTGAAGCTCGCGGTGCTAAGAGCGCTGCGATGGGTCGCAGAGCTTGAAGAGCACGCTGTCGGTCGGATGCAATGACATGAGTCAGAAGACAGATTTTTGCTGGTCGCTTGCGCTGTGTGCGTTCTTCTGCCCTGCGCCGTGCTGGGCCATGAGACTGACAATTACCCCTTGGCTGCACGTTGGCCCGTGCTTCAGGTCAAGATCATGCCTTTTAAAAACTCGTTTAAGCCCAGCACTCCACGTTTAGCAGCAAGCGCATCGAACAAGCGCATGCGACCTTCGTTGGGTGGCACGTTGCAGAGGGCTCACCTGATGGCTACTGGTGTACTGTGCATCGTAGCATTGTGCTTGGTGCAACGAGTGTCGGCCAATACGGAGATTGAAAACTTTGGACCGATGCTGTGCAGAGCCGATGCTGTTGGTCTGCTATCCGACCACGCTGCTCACAAAGTGGCACGTGGCTGGTGAGTGAGATGTGTGTGTTTGCAACATGGGGTCCAAGGAGGATTGGTGGCAAAGCGCCTAAATGCTTGCTTGCCTCGCGTCAGCTAGATGTTCGCTGAAAATTGCTGGCCCCCTTTTCTTCATCTGTTGCCTCTCACACACGCTCTCTCCTCTGAAGGCCGATCTTGGTGCCTGCTTCTACCCCCAGCAGATTCACCATCCCGGCTGCGGCACGCCAAGATGCGAGCGCGGATCGTGGTGCTTGGATTGTGCTGCAGCTGACCCGGGCCGCCCAAGACTCGAGTTGGCGGGATGATGAGCAGAGGGGATCAGGCGAGGAGGAGGCAGTACACCAGGAGCATGCACGAGCGGGAGAAGGCACGTCCTCTGCCGAATCTCGAGCTGATGCGGCACAGGTCGTCAGACCGACGGAATTGGCTTCTGATGAGCTGCCGCTGATCGATCAAGCCACGCAAGCAGAGGTCTCGCCTAGAGATCGTTTCCTGACGCATATCTGGCACAAAGTGGCATGGATGTTGAGCAAGCGGTATCAATTAAGACTTAGTTGGAGTGCCAGTGTGAGCAAAAAAAAAGTTGGCGGGGGGGGGGGGACCTAAAGCAACACAGGCGTATGCGGCGATGCAGCAAAGGTGCCGAAGTGGTAGCTGACTTTGCGTGTGCACGCCTTCTTCCAACAGTTCCCAGCCAAATTCTGGGTAGAAGTCTACACGCCTGAAGGTATGCTAGAGGCTGGAGGCATTTCTTGGCAGGCAGCACAGAAGGAGGGGCCAAGCAATGATACCAATGCAGTCCGCTCTGATCGCGCTGCTCAAGCCTCCGATGCCTCTTCTCAACCACGGACTGCATCCGGCCGTGGAGGTCTCGCTCAGCCTACAGGCACGCCTCAGCCAGCCCAGCCTGAAGGGCCTACTGTGATCTCTCAGGCTGATGCGAGGACCCCACCGGAAGCTTATGCGCAGACGGGGGGTGAAGCACCTGCTCTTTGGCCCTGTCCGCGAGTATACGCGCGGATCAGAGCTGTGCACGATGGCACGCCCATACCTGTCATGGCACCAAAGGCACCTTCCCTTTTGGTTCGTCTGGCTCAAACGTACCTCGGCGCTCTAGGACCTGGTGAGCATCAAGACGGCGGCAGACAGCCTGCTCTGCATTCCTCAAATGTCCCCATCCACCTCATCCTCGAACCTCTGGACTTGGGACTCATTCCTCACACTGCCTTGAGCCTCTTGGCGCTGCTTCTGCCCACCATGGCTATCGCTTGGACCATCTGCGTGCCTCTTGCGCTTGCCGCTTGCACCGCTGCCCTGCGTTGTGCAGTGCAACGCGATCTGCATGTCAAGGCGGAGTGATACAAAATTCATCGTCTTTTGCGAGTCGCGAGTACGCTTTCCTCGCTTCAAGCTAGCCGCTTATGCTTAATTGATGTCATCGAGGACGCAATCAAAAACGCCTCTTCCAAGGCAATCTCAAATGTCCACACTCAAGACTTGTATCAATCGTGCATTTGCGTTCAAATGTTGAGCATTGCGATTAACATTCTTGATTTTGGTGGTTGGCGATGGATGACGTGTTATCTGCGCAGATCGGTAGAGTTTAAAAAGAAGAAAAGAAAGATGACGTGTCATCGATAATGACGTCTGCAGCAGGAAAGCCTTTTGACTTCAGGCAGAGGTCGGGATGTTTGATTGATTCACGATTCGGAACGTCATTGTTATTCTTGATCACGTCGCGAACGGTAGTCAAAGTCAAGATCGACGACTCGATCGAAGGTGCATAATGGGGGCAGAGTCACGTGACGCGAGCAAGAAACCGCAAAGGTCAGAGAAGAGTCAAAGTCGAAAAGTCTCGCCTCGAATTGGCTTCAATTAGAAACTTTCTGCCGCGCTGCTGATCGATCGACGTTCGCTGGAAAGGGCGCTCGTCGTTCAAGACGACTTGATTGCGGCTGAGATAGCCTTTGGCGTCTGCAACGTACAGCTTCTAGCGGCCACCATCACTCGCCATTCATCGACGCAAACGCAAGCTTCTTGCACGTCTTGCCATCCATCGCATCCCGAATCCCCGCACTTGTCAACGTCTCACGCACATGTCGACTGGCGTCAACGGCGGGCCTGGTGGTGGTGGTGGTGGTGGCGCCGCTGCTGGAGGTGGGTCGAGTCGAGCGTTGCTGCCGGACGGCTCGCCCTCACAGTGGACAGTGCATCGCAATGCTGCGGGAAGGCAGTATTGGCATCACATCGTGGAGAAGCGATCAGTGTGGGACAAGCCGGTGGAGCTGCAATCGGCGCGGGAGCAGGCCATAGCTCGCACGCCTTGGAAGGAGTACACGAGCGGGGACAGAAAGTACTACGTCCACTCTGACACCAAGCAGAGCACTTGGACTCTGCCACCCGACCTGAAAGCCGTGCTAGACAGCCTGCCACGCGAAAGCCCAGCCGCAGCATCGCTACCACCGAAGCCTCCTGAGCAGCAGCAGCAGCACGCGCCACATTTCAGCATCGGTGCTTCCAGTCCAGCGCCCGACACTCCTGGTCAAGCGCCAGCCACGCACATCGCGACAGCTCCAGGTCCAGGGCAAGCCCCTTCGGCCCAGCCTCAACAGCATGCGGGGCCACCACCAGGCTACGGTGCCGCCGCCAGACCCATGTATAGTGGACCTCCTCCAGGCTTCGGAGGGGCAGCAGCGGCTACAGCCGGTGGTACCGGCGCACTACCACCACATCTCACAGGGCCCAACGCTGCACCACCGGGTGCTCCAGGTGCTCGTCCGGTCGCTTCACCCGGACCGAGCGTGTCTGCCTTTGCATCTGGCGAGGAAGCTTTCCAATCCTTGCTGCGCGGAAAGGGAGTGGACGCTAGCTGGACTTGGGAATCCACCATGAGGGAAATCATCACTGACCCTCTCTACAAGGCTCTCAAGACGATGACGGAGCGCAAAGCAGCCTTTGGAAGGTACATCGACTCCATCAAGCTTGCAGAGGAGAATGAAAGAAAGGACAAGGTGTCGGCTTTAGAGCCTGCGATTCGAAGCGTCTGCGAAAGGCTCAAGAGCGAGAACAAGTTGAAGATGCACCACTCGGCCGAAGCGGCTGGCAAATTGCTCGACGCTTACGCTGAATGGCGACAGCTCAGGAGCATAGGCGAGAGCTATGCGAAGGACTTGTGGAACAGATTGGCTCGCGAATGGAAGGAAGCAGAGGCTGTGAGTAGATCTGTGCCACCCCGACAGCCTGCGTGCATGGATCAGAACGGCTGACAGCCTCGACACTTTCACGAAAACCAGACCTCGACGCGCGAGCTGCGTCACAGAAATATGGACATGCTCATGTCGCTGCTGCACACCTTCGAAGCTGACGTCTTCACCCGCTGGAAGGATGCTCATCGAACAGTGCTCGAGTCGGACGAGTGGGCAACGGATGCGCACTTATCCTCCATGGACCTAAGCGATATGGTGATCGTCTTCGATGAGCACATGAAGTCCTTGGAAAAGGAACGAGGAGATGCAGACAGAGCGCGAGACGTGGAACGTGCCAAGGAAGAACGACATAGGCGTGTGGCGTTCCGCAAAAGGTTGCAAGAACTTGTCAGCGACGGGCGGCTCACGGCGCTCACTCCTTGGCCCGCTATCTATCAGATAGTCAAGTCTGACTCTGGCTTTCCAGAACTCATGGGTCAGCCCGGCTCCAGCCCACTGGATCTCTACTTTGATGTCATCGACGACTTGGAACAGAAATTGGCTACTAGTGTCAAATTGGTCGAGGAGCTGCTTCAAGCGAATGCACAACCGCAGCAAGATGGGCCAGCTCAACAGGCGGTAACGGTAAAGCCCACAACTACACTGCAGGAATTTCGTCAGAAAGCTCACGACGCCCTGGACGCCACTCGAACTCGGGAACCAAATGGTAGCGCGAGCGCAAGTCCGGTCGCACTCGTGCTTCAGAATGAGGACCAACTCAAAAGTGTTTTTGACGAGCTTCACGCGCGTGCACTCCGACACTTGTCAGACGTGCGCCGTCGCGCCGAACGCAAGCTACGTCATCTGACCGAGGATCTTCGCTTCGCTCTTCGAAAGGTGGACTCGGCCAGCGATGCTGCGATCGAAGCGCAAATCAAGCTAGATACGGAAGAAGAATTGTCTCAGAGCTGGGACGTGTGGCGGCAGAGGTTGGACAAGCTGGCACTCAAGGATTGGACGGACATGGACAAGCTACTGGAGGCGAGCGAGGGCGTCATCGATGCTGATCAAGTGGACGAAGCAAGGAAACAAGCATGGGAAAGGTTCGCCAAGCGGCATAGGGAGAAGCTGCAAGAACAGCAGGCGCAAGCTAGAGATGCGGATGGGCGTGAGGAAGCGGATGGTAGGAGAAAAGCAGGAGACAGTCCCGAACGTCGCTCGCCCACCTCATCTCGCAAGAGGAAAAGCGTCGAGGCAGGACGCACAGCAGACCAGAATGGTGAGGCCGATGGGGCAGGTCCCGAACGGCGCTCTTCTCGTCGCAAAGCGGAAGATACTTCTACCTCAAGTGGAGTTAGAGATCGCGCTTCTCGAAGGGCAGGGGCGGATGCCGTAGCGACTCAGGCATCTACGAGCACCAAACAGACCGAGGAGAGGATTAGACATAGAGGCACTAGCGAGGCAGATGAGAGGGAGCGTAAAGTGAGTTACGTATGAAATTTGGAGCGCAAGTTTAGTGCTTGCTCGAGCTCAAATCATCCGCGGCAAGCACAGCTGACAAGGTGTCTGCTTATCTGTACTGCAGCGTACTCGCCGGGGGAATGCGACCAGAGACGACGAAAGCAGCAGCAGCGAGAGAGAGGAGGGAGAAGTGTAACACAAACCCTCGGCGTCTGCAAAGAAGCTTCCCCAGCAGCAACGCTGTGAACCACCGTTTGTAGACCCACTTGCAACGACCAGGTTGCGCTCTGTGGTTCGTGTTCTCGTCAAGTGCACGCAATGGATGAATTCCGCGCGCCCGTCCTCAGCGTGCGCACAGCACAACGGTGCGGCGCGTGATGTGCTTCGCTTCCCTTTCTCGTCAAGGAGATGCTTGTGCTGTCAAGCCCCCTCGTCGAGGCGATAATAATGCTGACGCAGGCAAAGAACAATCCGTTGGTCTTGGCCGCTTGCGGAGGGATTGCATTCGGTCAACGCGGGCTTCCGGCTGCGAAGGCCGCATCGCCTAAGTTGGACGTCTTGGTTGACAAAGAGTCGGCAGCGCTCCAGTCGATCCATTTCGGTGGCGCACATCTGCTTCACGAGTGGAGGGATTGCTGCTGGATCATCGTGAGGTCGATGTGAAGACTAAGCGCTCGATCGATTCCTCGAGGCAGATCTGGAGCGACTTCGTTGGCGAGGCTCAAAGACGTACTTGCGTGCGGGGGGAACGTGAGCAGGAGGTTCGCCTCCGATAGCAGCTAAGCAGGGAGCAAAGAAGCTGCGAATGTAGATCCAAGGATGGCAGAGACGGTGTCAGGTCTCGCGTGTCGACTCTATGCCTACACGCGAGCGTCTACACAGCGACTAGGCACTACTCACATTGTTCCATGCCATACTCGTACCAGCGTCATGCTTGCAATGAAGAGCCACAGCAGCACCTCGACCAGTGACAGTACGGTTCCAAGTATTCTGAAAGCTCCAGAGTCGAGCATTCTTCCCAGCTGTGTGGTGGCAGTGCAGAACACGCCGAGCGGGAAAGTGAAGCCCCACCAGCCGAGGTTGAACTGCAGCTCTGACACCAACCACAAGTCGATCAGAGATGAAATGGCTAAGGAAAGCCAAGCCAATCCCAAGCCCCACAAGACCAGCGCGATTGGTGTGCTGACAGCGTAGATAGAGATCGACATGATGTGCGCGTCCTGAGCGCTGAACAAGGAAGCTCCTGCCAATGCTTGATTGGATCTGTCGCTGAGATGCAAGATGGACTCGGAGAGCTTGAGGAGACCGAATGCTCCTTGACCGCAAGGACCGAGGGGAAGAAAGGCACTGACGATCAGCGTGGCTGGTGGAACCTTGTAGATGGCCAGTCTGGCGTAGTAGAGAGTCATGATGATGAAGGCCAAGCCAAAGCCAGCGCCCCACAGTATATAGGACACGATGATGGTAAGCCTAGCTTGAGATGGCTCGAGGATGTTGTCCGCCAGTATGCCTCCGCTCGCTGCAGACACGATCGGAGCAACGACTGGCAGAAGCCAGACGCCGGTCACCTTGTCTAGGGATTGCACGTGCCTAGTGAATTGCAAAAAGGGCAGACCGAGGCAGATGAGGATGGAAATGATGCTGTCCAGCCACCACATGGCCCAGGTAAAGAGGGCAAAGTTGTGTCCCCAAGAGGTGCCGATGGCCAAGGCGCACATGTTGACGATGGTGGCGAGTCCCATGGCAAAGGTGCCCAAGAAGAGAGACTGCGACTCGTGGAACAGCATCGTTGGGCCCATCGTTGGCCAAATCGTGTAGCGAGCACTAACAGCCAGAGCGTGCGTGCAGAGAAGGGGTCAGCTCGATTGGGTGGCAGGACTGGATCGCGCCTTCGCTGGGCCCGATTTCTCCCGCACTCACGCGCTTATGGAGGTGAACACCAGAAAGAGGGCGACATTGAGCGCGAAGATGATTTCAGCGATTACGTGCAAGCCTTTGAACTGGTAGGGCAGCTGGTACAGCAAAATTGAAGTGATGCCAGTGCCCATACTGCGTTCATCACAGATCGGCGCGAGGGTGATCAATGGAATGGCATGGCACGATAGAAAATGTCAGCTTAGACCTCGTAATCAAAAAGGAATCTTTAGGACCAGCGTTGGCTATTGAGTAGCAATTGAATGCACAATGCCCATGCCCTAATGACACTGACAATATCAACAGGGCTTCGACGGTCGCTCGTTGACGTCGCGCCCTATATGATCGACCTACCGGAAGCGCTCGTGCAAGGGCGTGTCACTCGGCACACTCACGACTCGAGGCAGAACTCACTTGACACTGAACCAGCTTGGCGTAAAGTGCAAAGTGATTCTCCTCAATTCCCTTGCGTACCTCGCGTACCTGCCACTCAGCCCGCCACCCGCCTCTGCAGCATTCAGGCTATTCACATTGCCTTTGCCCAACGATCCACCGCCGTTTCGCTGCGCGTCAATGCCAGCCGAATCGTCTGCTCTTGCATCTGTGCTCGAGCCCTCGCCGATGGAATTTGAAGAAATGTGCACCGAATGGCCTCCATCAGCAGCTGGATTCATGCGGTCTTCTCCTCGCTCGACGTCGTCGTCACGTCGCGGACCTCGAGAGGCGTGGATCATTTGCGCTGGCTGATCAGCGGCGAGGCGAGGCGAGCGGAGCGAATTGGGAGACTTTGATGTGCAGGCGAGTGACTAGCAGAGAGCACTCGGGACTCTTTTTGAGTCATGATGAACGATTGCGACATCTATTGATGGGCGGGCAAGCACGATTCACGAATGGAACGTCAAGCCACGAACTCGAATGACGAATCCAACGCTGCACAGTTGTACGCGGGTAGTACGGGTCGGTATACATAACGTCATTCAAAAAATCATTGAGCCGCGGCAATCACGAGTGACTCGTGCATGCATGCGATGCATGCAGAAGAAAAGTCACGCTGCGAAGAACGAGATATCAGATCTGCCGCGCCGCGCCGCCCCAATCGTCAAAGCCTTGATTGCATTCACGATTCTTGATTCAATATCCTTTCTTTGCTCATTTGTCGCAACTCGTGACATGCCAAATGTAGAATCTTGAATTGAGATTTGCATGAAGGAAGCTCTGACCTAATGACATCGTAGCCGTCGACTTGCACCTTGACGACCGCATCACCTCGATATGCTTGATTGGAAGATTCTCAAAAGCGAAAGCTGTGCAAACTGGCAAGCCTGAGGCGTAACATGCAGTGTGAGTGCTGGTGATCTTTCAAGTTACGGCCCGAATCCCAAGAGTCTTGAGTCGCGCGGCCCAAGGATGATAGCACTTAAACTTCCACTATCGGTCTGCGCATCACGTGAACCATGAAGAAGCATGATCCCATCTGATGTTCATGCGATGACGACAGATACGTCATAAGTTGTCGCTCTGATTTGCTCAGGGCGCGCAAGGAAAGCCATGCAAGGCAACAAATGTACGGAGGTGTCTTGCGAGCGATCTTGAGATCAAGTATTCGGCGTGCGCGCGCACGACCTGCGCTGAGCATCGAGCATCGAGATCAGCCGACTCTGCGGAAGGTGATTGCGAATCGGCTCATTTTCCAGCGCCAAGAGTCATGAGACTATGGTTTGAGCGCGATCTCGGTGTAGGCTAGGTACCGCTCGGGATTACCTGGGCATGCGTGCGAGCTCCACGCCGGATTGCAGCTTGTCTGACACGCAAGCCACTCACTCGTTCACCACAGCAGGAGGGTTGGGACTTCGCTGTGCCCATGCATCTATCCATCCACACATCCACACATCCACACATCCACACACAGCAGTCGAGATTGTTCACGATTCGACATGACATGAACCGTGCAGCGAAGAACTGCAAGCAAGCAAAGCAAGCAAGCAAGCAAGCAAGCAAGCACGTACGCGTGAATGTCTGCCGCCGAAGCGGTGCCTGTCATCAGCCATCAATCAACCGTCTTTGCGGCGGTGCACAGACAGCCGTTTTTTAAGCAGTCTGTGCGGAATGCTGCATGAAGCTGCATGCCGCTTCGGGGTGGATGGACGGGTGATGTGCCTCTCGAACTGCGCTTTTCCACTTTTGACTGCAGATTGCTGCTGCCTGCATGCATGCAAGCATCCATGCATCCATGGGGCAGCGGCTATACTCGTGACTATACAAGCACGGGCAGCGCAGCCCGTCTGTCTCTGCATGGATGCCTGCAGCTGCCTGCTGCTGCATGGTCGCTGGCTATATGCCGCCATGCAGGCCGGTGCTGTGGTGGGCATGCAGACAGACTCACGCGCACGGTGCAGTCATCACGAATCGCGCGAGAATGACTGCTGCTGCTGCCGCGCGACAACCCGCGCTTCCGAGATCACGCGGTTTTTTTTTGTTGGGCTGGTCGGTGATGTCTCGCGCGCGCCATCAGATGTTTGAGAAGATCTGGTCGGGTCTGCAGCTGCTTGCTTGCTCGATCAGTACGTCTGCTGCTCGTCTGCTGCAGATGATTGATTGGCACGCTAAATCGTCGCTCGATTTGCTTCGCGTTCCATCAAGACTCGATGGTGCGGTACCGCGAATTGCATTGCGTTGCGTTGCGTTACGTTGCGTTGCGTTGCGTTGCGTTGCGTTGCGTGTGTAGCAGTCACCTGGCTGCTGCTGATGGCTGTTCAATTGCTTCGATTGCGGCCGAGCGCTCATCATCGCGAGTCACTGAGCAGCACCACTTGCAGAATTCCACTTCCCCATCTCATCCCATCTCATCCCACCATCACCTCCTCTCCCACTGCTCACCATACCAGCCACGCTCATCCAATCTCGATCAGGCACCGCAACAACACCAGCACCGCTCAACATGTCTCGCCCCCAAAACGTCGGAATCAAGGTGCGTGCCTGCTCAATCCGGTGCCCTCGCAACTTGGTCCACTCTGGCTTGTCCAAATTCGACGTTGCCGACTTGGAACCTCCCATGCCGAAGTGCACGCTGCTCACCATCTCGATCCATCTCCTCTGCTCCGCATCCATCACCAGGGCTTCGAAATCTACTTCCCAAAACGAGTGCGTAGGCTGTGTGGCTGCAGAGCGCCGCACATGGGCTTGCAGGTACCAACAACTGACCACCTCAACCGCCCTCGCTTCCCTGCATGTCCCGCAGTGCATCTCTCAAGAGGAGTTGGAGGAGTTTGATGGCGTCTCGAAGGGCAAGTACACCATCGGCTTCGGCCAAAAGTCCATGGCCTCGTGCGATGATAGGGAGGACATCAACTCCTTTGCTCTGTCTGGTGAGTAGTAGGCCGTTTGCGTTTTCAACTTCAGCCGGTCGGTCAAGCTTTCAGGCTCTGGGAACAAACATGGCCTTCGTGCTTCCGGGCTATCTGACTGGCTGGCTACAAGTGTCCACGTCCACGCAATCCGCATCGACTCGGCTGCTGGTGGAGCTTCTGCTCACTCTACTCTTGCGCCTTGGACGCCTGCCCCCCTCAGTCACGCAAGGGCTGCTCGAAAAGTACTCGATCGACCCAAAGAGCATCGGCCGTCTGGATGTGGGCACCGAGACAATCATAGACAAGTCCAAATCTGTCAAGACGATGCTCATGACCCTCTTTGCACAATCTGGCAACACGGACATTGAAGGTCTGGACAGCAAGAATGCCTGCTACGGAGGCACAGCTGCGCTCTTCAACGCCATCAACTGGGTGGAGAGCAGTTCGTGGGACGGTAGAGACGCCATCGTCGTTGCTGCCGATATTGCAATCTATGCTCAAGGACCCGCGAGACCGGTCGGCGGTGCGGGAGCAGTTGCGCTGCTGATCGGACCCGATGCGCCTTTGGTCTTCGAACGTGAGTGCTGCTCTGTGCTGGGCGAAGGGGTACACTGAGAGCTGCGAAGGGGAGGGTAGGGACGCCCACACGAAGTGGCGCGTCCATCGGTCGCTCGCCTGTTGTGGAAGTCGGCTCCTCTTGGGTGAAGGTACTATGCGCGCTGGGACAAGTCGTGCACGACTCGGGCGCTCTCAGCGGCGTGCCGTTCTGTGGTTCATCGATGCGCTCACAGCAACTGACGCATTTGGCCATCTTATTCCTGCGCTCCTCGCAGCCGTCCATGGAACCCACATGGCCAACTCCTGGGACTTTGTAAGTAGTGATCTCGCACAACACGTTGCGCGCTCCAGCTCGACTCACTTGCTTTTGATGCGACTCGGTACTCGCTCGCGCAGTACAAGCCAGACTTGTCCTCAGAGTATCCCAAGGTGGACGGGCCGGAGACGCTGCAGACCTACCTCGGAGCCCTGGACGCTGCGTACGACGCCTATCGACGCAAGGCAGCCAAATTCAACGCTGGCGTTGCTCTCGCGAAGGGAGAGTCTGCTGCACCAAACGGAAGCGCTGTTGACCCTCGCGCATCGGTCAAACTGGACAACTTTGATTTTGCCATCTTCCACTCTCCGTACTCCAAGCTCGTACAAAAGGGTTTTGGTCGTGTCGTGAGTAATCAAGAGCAGCCTGACGCAAGTCTTTTTTTCAAACTAGACGAGCTCAGATCTTCCACCTTCTCCGCCTCGCCTCAGCTCTACAACGACTTCTTGGCTGACCCCAAGAACCCAGCGTACGAGAGCGTTCCAGCGGAGTACGCACAGCTCGACCGCAAGAGCACCATCACGAACAAAGACGTCGAGAAGTTCTTTGCAGGATTCGGCAAGGAAGCACAGTCAAAGAAGCTTGAACCCACAATGGACACGGTCAGGCGCGTCGGCAACATGTACACAGCATCGCTGTATGGTGGTCTGGCCAGTCTTCTTAGCAACGCCTCGAGCTCTTCATTGCAGGACAAGAGAATCTTGCTCTACTCCTTCGGCTCAGGCTGCGCAGCAAGCGTATTCGCGATCAAAGTCAAGGGTGACACGAGCACTTTGGCCAAGAACCTCGACCTCCACGCCAGACTCGACAAGATGGAGAAGGTGCCTTGTCAAACGTACGTCGACGCCTTGCACCTCCGTGAAGGCACTCACAACGCGGTCCACTACACCCCCAAAGGCGACATCAACAACCTTTGGCCTGGCACATACTTCCTTGAGAATGTTGACGGCGATTACCGGCGCACGTACGGCCGCACCCCCAAGGCATAGGGGTGACGCGACTCTGCTAGCAGACGACGGTGCGTAAGGAACATCGCGCCACGCGTGAAAGCATAGGACACAGCCGAGTCAGAGCGCCATGCACATATCTTGGACGTGTGCAGTCTGGTCTAAGCGAGAATGCATAGCATGTGCCCAGCACACAGTCAGGTCTGAAGCTGCACGTCTCGATACGATAGAGCAGCAGAGCACACGAAGCGAGGAGCGAGGGGCGACTCAGCGTGCAAACGTTCACAAAGGACTGCAAACAAAGCAGACCTGAAAGATTGCGCGACTGGAGTCTTTAAATACTTGTGCCCGAAGAGGAAGGTTAGAAACAGTCTTGCACGTCATGCTTTCGAAATGCTTGCATTGCGCGCTGGCATTTTTTCTAGGGAGGATTCGGCTCGTGTCAGTGCGAGAGACTTCAGGTACAGATAGATGTTTCCCAGGTACGTTTCCTCAGCAGATGTCTTCGGGCCCGCAGAAGGGAGCATTCACGATCAAGGTCGGTTAGGCGCAGCAGTAGGCCTGGAGCGTGGGCTCTCTCAGCCCACGCCACCTCAGGGCTCTGGCTCTGCAGTTGCTGCGCAACAGACTGTACACCAACACTGGGCCGTATCACGGAGCGCATCCGCGTGAAGCGCGCGAGATCTTCGTGTGGCGAACAAAGCACGTCTTCCCGACGCGACCAGACATGCTAGTCACCAGTGGAGTGCGCGCTGGACTGCGGCTCCGAACTTACTGCGCATCGGATGGCCAAGCGCTTGTTCAAAGAATGCCCTGCCTCCCGTGCACTCGTGGGGCGGCGCTGTGCCGACGATGTCTGGGGCTCCGCGAGCTCTTCTCTTGCATTTTAAGCAGAGAGAAGTTTTCACCGCATAATGCTTTGCAGTTTGTGTCAGCTCCGCGTCGTTCGGAGTGGCGTTTGCAGAGAGCGCTGGTTTGTGTCAGCTCCGCGTCGTTCGGAGTGGCGTTTGCAGAGAGCTCTGACCAACATCCTACCGACGGAAGTGACTCGGTGTAGAATGAGACTTGGCTGCCTATGACATTATGTATTTTGATCTTCGCCCCGCCTACGATTGCCGCTTATCGAGCAGCCTGACAGTCGGTGGACAACTCCAATGACTTCAGGTATGGACGTTTGTCAGGTGTCCGGCCCTCCTTCCCCGAGCCTTGTGAGGACACGTGATTTGACCATGTGTACACAACCGCTCTAGGAAGCTTTGACCACGCGCTCTGACATGGTAGTCGTGAATCGTGAATCACGTGAATGCACGTCCCTCGACAGCTCGGTGCAATGATGTCAGGTACACATGGAATGCCCGTCGGGTACCCGGCCCGCCGTCCTCGTACCTTCTGAGGACACGTGACTCGGCCACACGCACACGACCGTTGGGAAGCGCGGCGCCCGCCCATCAATCACGCCATCGGTACAAATGCCCATCGAAGGTCACATTGCATTTACTGCCGAGCGGGGCAGATAAGGATCCTTCAACCCACGCTAACGCGCTTCATTTCGGCGTGTCGGCGCGTCCATCGACCTCTCCTCGTGTATGCCATTGGTACAAATGCCCGTCGAAGGTCACATTGCATTTGCCGCCGAGCGGGGCAGATAAGGATCCTTCACCCCACGCGAACGCGTTTCATTTCGGCGTCTCAGCGCGAACCCCTATTACGAGGGGCCCGAGCGAAGCGACAGCGTCTATAAAGACTCGTCGAGAAGTCGAGATGGCAGCCGGATCCCTCTTCACGACCACCACCACACTACGAGTCTCCAGCCGGCTACACCGTGCGCGCGACGGTTGCTTTCCTACCACCGCCCTCCAAATCGCATCAATGATTTCCACTACCCATCATCTCCAGCGCGTCTCCTGCGAGCGAGGCGTGACAAGGCAGCAAGCGCTCAGATGACGGCACTCCCACTTGCACGCCCCACCCGACAGGGAAAAGTCCGCATTACGCGGACAAATCTATAGAACAAAGGCTTAGCCTCAGCGGATCGTAGCAACAAGGCTACTCTACCGTTTACAGCACCCCGTTCCCATTCAAGTCGTCTGCAAAGGATTTACCCCCGCCCATATTCGAGATTGCTATACGCGGACGAACCGGAGCGGCCTTTCCGCCGTCCGGCCGCTGCCCGCCATATACGGTGCACGGCCCCAAAGGACCTATGTGTAACACAAGTGACATGTGCGGGACCAACATCGTCGCTTCTGGCACGGATTCTGGCTTAGAGGCGTTCAGCCATTATCCAGCAGGTGGTAGCTTCGCCCCATTGCCCGATCGGACAGAGGCAAATACCAATTACCTGAATCGAC